GAATCATGGATGGATCACTTTACATACACACACACACACGCACGCACGCACGCACGCACGCACACACACACACACACACACACACAGAACAGCCTACTGCAGACCAGCAGATTTGCAGAGGTGGTTTCTTTGTGTCTAATCACTACCTGTCCATTTCAACTCAGCTTGTGAACAATATGCAGTGTGGTGGGCACTGGGCAGTATGCTGTGTGTGTTGTTTCAGCGTGTGTGTGTGTGTGTGTGTGTGTGTGTGTGTGTGTGTGTGTGTGTGTGTGTGCATGCATGTGTGTTTGTGCCTATTCTATTTTTAATGAGCCAAACCCTTTTGAAAGCTGCTTGTGCCTCGCCTTTCCGTCTCCTCTGAGTTGTGGCATGAGAAGATGGCAACCACTGTTCTTTTTTTCCAAACAGCACAAGAATCTTTCACCCTTTTTACTCAGAGCTGCTTAAGTGAGTCAAAAAGTCAGAGTTAAGGACAGCCAGGAAACAGGGGTGTTTTTCTGTTCTGACGTTCAATTTTACATTAAAAAAAATGCAACGGAAATGTAAATCAGAAGCCCAGAGTTTGGACAAGCTAATTTGTTTGACATGTATGTGCTCTAAGTGAGGAAACCTCAGAAGGCAGGAGGAATGGGAATTCTCAACAGCTTAAAGGAACGGCTCTGTTTGAGTCTGATCATTTGCTGTGGAGCATTTTTTGAAATTTCGACGTTTCAAAAATACAGAAACGTTCGTGTATTCCTGCAAGTCTGGATGGTCTCTTCCACCCAAACTCAAATTCCTCTCCGGATGATGTCGTGATTGCACATTCCTCTGAGCCAAGTGCCGACAGTGGCATCAAATCCCTTCAGCAGGTCATTATGCCCCGCTGCTGCTAACGGTGTTGATGTGTCTATGTTCCTGCTCCAGAGTTAATCAGTGCTGGAATGGAAAATGCCAAAGACATGAACCCACACACATTCATGCTAATTTCACTGTTGCACCTCTTTTCCCCTACGAGGCAGCTGAGTCATGCAATGCATGTCATTGGGCCGGGTTTGACGCTTTGTTAATGTGAAAGCATGCAGGGTGGAAAAAGCATCTTTTTCACCTCCTTCCTCTGCTGCTGGATGAGTCAGCCAATTGGATTCTCCCGCTCTAGTGCCTAGGTCTGGCTGTGTGATAAGGGCTTTTCCTGAGAGACCGTCTATCTGCAAGGTAGATGCAATCAAGGAGCCTGAAAAGGAGAAACGGAACAACAGTAGAAAAATTAGGGCTTTCAGCGAGGAGCACACACCCACTCCTTTGATTTTACTTTCTAATTTGGCTGCACCCGCTTCTCCTTTACTGTCTTTGACTGAACTGTAAATGCTCTGGCTCACATTCCTCCCAGAAGCTTCCTGCTTTCCCCTCTGCCTCAGTCCATAACTTTATGTCCTCCTCCTCTTCTACGACCTCCCTCTTCCTCCTCTTCAATGCACTGAGTTCCTCTCGAATGTCAGCATGGCATGAGTGGGTGGCAGGCAGCGGCATTTGAAAAAGCCCCTTCTAAGGTTTTGCTGCAGTGTGAGGATCAGCTAAAAGAAGAGGAAGCGAGAGAGTGAATGCAGCGGACACTTGACGTGGTCAAAACTCGCCTCCTTTATGGGTTTTATGTCACATACTGCAGGTTTACAGGATTTTGGTGAACGTGCAGAGCTGATGCTGCAGCATGGATTCACCAATTTATAAAAGAAACGAGTATTTATCGCGCATTTCTTAATCCAATGTGGACGCAGAGGCATCTCACACCTCCCTCACGCATAATGAGAGCTGGTGTGGCATGACTCAGAGGGGAGCAGCTGGGGAGAAGGCTCCAGTGGCAGTGGTGAGCTGTCACCATCTGGAAAAGTGCACATCTCTGAGCCTTCTCAGCCAGTGCCATAAATCACCGCTCAATAACGGGGCGTCAGTGGATCAACGTGTTTCCTCATGTAAAAAACCGAAGGCCACGACAACACAAAAGAAGTGCTGTGGTGATCTGGATCCCACTCTGGTCACATTCATCCTGGTTATGGATTGTTTCCCTTCTGAAGAGCCAGATCAGAGGAGCTTTGATCACACTTTGACAGCTGTCTCATCTCATAACTTATTCTATTTGTCTGTGGGATGAAGGCTGCACCTGTGCTGTGGACGCCATCAAGACGCAGATGGCTTGTAGGCTGGAGGAAATATTAATGCAGGAAGTTTATTCCTGTTGGCCTTGTCAAACACTTTCCTGTTGCAAATGCTAGATGTGCCAACTTGTGTCATAAGTATGAGACATTGGCGGTTCTAGGGGTGGGGCCACAGTGGCATTGGCCCCTACTGAAATCTGTTTGAAACCCATGAAGTGCCCCTGTCACTCAGGATCAGATTTTAGGTGCAATTCAGTCCAAATACTAATGAGCCAAAAATAGGAATTTTCTGCATGAAATCTCAGCTCAGCTTCACTGCGGTATTTGGGGACTCGGGGCAAGTCATCGTTGGCCGATGTGGACTGGTATGGGTCTGCAGTTTCAGGAGAGCCTTTAAATCGCAATTTTTATTATCACTTGGCAGGCGGGGTAAAATGTACCGTCATGCCATCCATCCGCATTGTTCTGCTTATCCGGGGTCGGGTCGCAGGGGCAGCGGCCTAAGGAGAGAGGCCCAGACTTCCCTCTCCCCAGCCACCTGGGCCAGCTCCTCTGGGGAAATCCCCAAATGGTCCCCAGCCAGCCATGAGACACAGTCCCTCCAGCGTGTCCTGGGTCTTCCTTTAAGTTTCCTCCCAATTGGATGGGCCCAGAAAATCTCACCAGGGAGGTGTCTAGAAGGCATCCTAACTAGATGCCTGGGCCATCTCCACTGGCTCCTCTTGATGTCATGCCTCGTACCGACATGCGCGATTTCATAAATACGTTGTGCAACTACTCAGTATATCTTTGCTGCAGTGAATGGTCTGCAGAGCTAAAGACAAAAAGGAAATGCTTACCAACAGACTCCACATGTGACTTGCAGTCTCTGAGTCCAGACCTGCTTCACTGCCTCAGTTTGCCAGTTTGTGGCCATAAATAGCGTCCAGAGCGTTGTACTACCTCCATGTATTAGTTACATTTCCACTCCGGCTGTTGCTGTTCTTAACTTTTCTATATTGGGTTTTTAATTTCTTCAGCTTGGCCCAACGGTGTTCCAACGTCCACTTGAATCCTTCGGCTGCTCCGTATACAACTAATGAAAATGCAAACAACGGAATTCCGTGGTTTGTTTTGCCCATTGCAGGTAGTTGTATTCCTGTCTCCCAGTCAGTGGACTGTGTCGTCGCTCCACCCTTATCGTTCTGATCCATTTTCTATGGACCTACGACAGAAGGGGCCCATGAAAAGGCCATCAATGACGCGGTCCAGGTTGGTTGTATGGGCGGTTTTTTGCAATCAGGACAGATAAAACAGCGACCTGACCCACCACACCCCGTCTCTAACCTTGCAGTGGAACCGAGGCATAGGTTGCATAAGGATGCAACTGTTGGGATCTAGCTGGAGACAAAGTTTTCCAATGCAGGATTTTTCCCTTTCTTTGTCAGTGAAATTACGCATTGGTCTTCACATTATTTTAGCTCTAGGTTTGATGAACTTTTGGGTCAGGTGGGGCAATTAAGGTACAAATTAAGTAAACATTTAATTATTTTCTTTTATTAGAATATTTTTCAATTATGTCTCAGTTTGTCCGAGAGTCACCAACGGCCATCTTCTCCTAACGCTTCCCGCCCTTTCTGACTCAAACTAGCCCAAGATGTGTTTAGGTTATTTTATGACAAAATGTGCCGTGCAACTGTTTTGGTTCAAAATTTGAGACAATTCCAGCAGCTCAAAATTGGACATTTGTAAACCATCCTGAATGTTTTGGGACATTCTGGAAACTCTTTTGCAAATGCTGTTTTTAATTTGTCATCAACAGTTTCTGCCATGTTTAAAGGTGTGGTTCACTGGAAAAAACATTAATGATTATTCCTGATTATAACGGGTCACTCTGAGTTTTTTATGCATGCTGAGCATGAAAATAGTCTCCTACACCTATCTCCTGCAGTAGCTTCTGGTAGAAAACAGACGGCGAAACTCTAGGATTAGAAAAGCCTGACAGGCTTGTTGTTGGTTTAGTGTCCAGGAAACAGCAGAGAACGTCTTGGCTAGTAGAAGCTTACCGTTAGCATTAGCAAATCCACCACACAGCAGAACTCCTCCAGTCTTGTGATGGTTGTGGAGATAAAACATCAACATTGCAAGTCACTCGTGGAGTCATGCTGCTGTTATCCAGTCTGAGGTGAGATGTCTAACTATAAGGGAAAAAAGAGTCTAAATCCTGCCGTGTTCCACCACTCTCCGCTGCAGCATACTCCTCTGTGCTGATCCAGGTGCTTTGGGGGTTTTTGTTCCCCAGAGTGTGACTTGCAAGGCATTCATTCCTACTAGAGACCACTGCAAATGAGTGTCCCACACCTTTAAAAAGTGGGAAGGAAAGTGGTTTGCATACAAGCTCAATCCAACAGCTCAGATCTTTTAGTTGGAGAAAGGAGGAGATACAAGATAATCTTCAAAAGAAAGTATTTCAGTTGCATTTGTGAAAAAGATGGATTAACTGGTTAAGACTTCCTGGAATACTAAAGAATTTCCCTCGTCTCAGAAAACTGTTAAAATCCTAATATGTAAGTGATGGATTATTATCCGTGTTTTTGGTTAAAATTTTATGTACAGAGATAATTACCCCTCAATTTAAGGAGAATTACTAATTTTGTTTGGATAATATTAATTTCCCTTTAACAAATATTGCTTGTTCACCTCTGATATAAGCAACTGAGGGATGCTAACCTTCAATTTTCCAGTTACCATCAACAGAATCAAGAGTTTATTGTTGGTTTTTGGGGCAATAAAATGCAATCGTTGCAATGTTTCAGCAACAGTGTCAACAATTTGGATATCCTAGTCGCTAATAGCTGCCAACCTGTCTGTTTGCTCTGTTGACAGGGTCAACACAGACATAGCAGTCAATAATTCTGCAGGACACACTTAGCTGATCTTTGGAAAACTAACACACATGACAACCTCCTGTGGTCAAGCCCTATGAACACATGAGAGGGAAGGAACAGAGACAAACCATGAAAAAGATATACATTGGCAAAACTGCCTTAAAAGTCCCCCGAAATGGCGGCAAACACCCCAAAAAGAGGTAAGAGCAAATCTCTCATTTTATCTTTCCATCCGTGCTCGTTTTTATCTGTTTGTCCGCTCATCCGCCCACGAGGTGTCTCCTGTCGTCGTTCAGTGGTGTTAAAGTAGCCCCATCCCGCCTTTGGAAGCCCAGAAGTCATCCTGCCTCGTCATCTCATCTCACCAGAATGAAAACACTCATTATGTCTGACTCAGCTCCTGTTCACAGAGGAGGTCACTAATGGGGGACTTTTCATCTCTGGAGCTACTTCACACGAAGTCACCCTGTACCTAACAACAAACACCTGTATTCCCCAGCTAATGCCTGCCCATATAAAGAAGGCAGGAGGTGAGCCGGTGGGCACTGCTGGATAGCGCAGCACTTAAATATCATCCAGTCAGCTGGGACGTTCATTGAATCCATCTGAGAGCTGGCAAATGTTTGCTCACTAGCATAGCTGCAGATGAAGCAGCCGTTTCAGATCCAGTCTGAAGTTGGCTGTCTAATCTCACTCTCAGTTAAACATCTTATTGTACACTGCTAAAACTGATCTTCAAGAAAGTACCAAAAAAAGTCTTGTTTTAGACATTATGTCTTATTTTTTTGGCCTAGAAAGAAAAAAATGCAACATAGCACTATTTGAAATGAGGTAAATATTCTGTAACATGACCAAATGTTCTTGTTTTGAGTTAAAAATAAAACTACCAATGTGGTAAGCATAAGTTGCCTGACTAGAATGACGGTGTGCATTTTCCCTGGTGATAGGGGGCAGCACATACCTAAATCATTGCAAGGAAGCGGTATTTTTGTGTTCGAGTAAGACCTTACCAACAGATGGCCATTAGGGTCAAAAATCCCTGTGAGCGCAACTTCCAGCAAAATGACAAGAACATCAGACTCCCTTTCATCACTGGCAACAAGTGAAGAGATAAATGTGTAAAACGTTAATGAACGGTGAAAGTTTTGTAACCGTTTGTTCAAAATCAGAAAATGCGTTTTACCCTCATGGGCTCATGTAGAAGGAAACATGGCATCTAATATGGCATCCCCAGAGACTGAGGGTGTTTGTCAATGTCAAGGCGCCTGGCCTACCAAGGCAGTGTGTTGGAAGGCCAGGTGCCTTGCTTACGAGGACACTTAAATGGTTAAATGGAACAGACTTACCCGACGTGACACGTGAGGTAAAGTTATATTTTGTACGCATAAGTTTCAGTATAAATGTATAACGAGTCTTTTACTCTTTTAATTGTGTGTATATTGGTTAAATTAATTATGTAAGTGAGTTAGTACCCACTAGCCACCAAAGCTGCAACTACTAAGCAACTAACCAACCATAGCTAACTGCTTTGGATCTAAAATTAACATTTTAGATATCAGCCCGATGGCTACAACTAGTTGATCTATATTAAACAGGAAATTTGCCCCCAAAGGAGCTGCTGCCGGCTCCTGATCCGCCATCCTTTTGAAAATACAGCGCTGTATTCTGGTATATGTTTGACTGAGAGAAGGCAGAAAGACACCTCTGTGCATCCTTAGTTAGTTAGCTAAATGGCAGAAAACGTCTTTGTAGAACATGAACACCGGAACACGCCTTGGAGGTGATGATGACGTATTCCCCGGGCAACAGGGGCGCCTCCAGAAAAATTTGATAGGGGTGGCCGGACGGGGCCAAAAATTTTTTTGGGATGGCACACCAAACTGGTCCTTGTGGTAACTCTGGGAGAGTTAAGCCTGTGGCGATGTATTGCACTGCTCCTTTCTTTGTTTTTATTAAAAAAAACAGTTTGTATCCAAAACATTTAACTTAAATTTTACAAACACAAATATTTCAGAAAAATATATGTCAGTTATTTAAAATATTGTTTCAAATTTAATAAAAACTTTTTTTTGTTTAATTCACCTGTTGCTATGTACACACAAATCTATGGAGATAAACACTTTTTTTAATGGTGAGCATGTTTAAACATGTTTAAAATCAAGCCTTTCTTAACTTTCTTGAAAACTTGTTTTTGCAGTGCATCCAGAAATCAACATGTTGGAAATGTGAAAGTGTTTTTTTTTTCAAATTCAATTCAAATTCAAAAATACTTTATTAATCCCAGAGGGAAATTGATTTACTCTACCGATGATTTCTTTTCTTTAGTTTAGCAGTAAATATATTAGAATTATGACTGACTTTGTTTATTTTCCCTACTTGCAGCCATTTTTAATTTCTGAGCGTCATTGGCAGATTAGAAAACTCGTCCGTACCGTAACTGCCACGTGGAACATGTAGACATACCTTTGGCCTCCAGACAAGCTTGGCTTTGGTAAATCAGCAGCACGTGCGCTGCATGCGTTAATTACTAATAGATGTTGTTAATTGGCTCAAACCTTTAGAATATAAATGATACAGATACACCACATTGAGTCTACCTCTCATCCCATTGCCTGCTAATGAGATAGAAACTGGGTTATCCTGAAACACCGACTTTGCTTCCTGCCCTACCTCCACCTTTTGCATTTATTATTAAAGAAAAAAATGGAGAGAAATGGAAAAGGTGAAAAGATCAAAGTGACCACATCTCCATCCACTCTGAGCTATATTTGTTATCTGGCTGCAGATGGAGTCATTACCTTTCTTCCTTCCATCTGTCTGTCAATACAAGGTCCATTAAGCTGCACGGCGCTCACTCAGATCCATTACAGAAACAGACATTTCCTCTTTTCCCACTCATGCTTGCCCTTTTATTAGCTTGAAGGCCAGGTAATGCACATAATCCAGAAATAGTCATCATTGCACTGTTTAGTTAAATTACACCTTGGAGATGTTGCTGTTTTGTAAATGCAAGCCTCCAGGGTCTATTCATGTAACGCAATAGAGTTCATTGACTCATCTCTCCTCATAAATTATACGTCCTTTATACCCGTGTGACCAGTCTCACTCGTCGCTTTGGTTTTAACGCACAAGAACACCTCATGTTGAAAGGATTTGTCACTAAGAAGCTCAGATAGCTGATATGCGTTATTAGTTGTATAAAATATTACCTTAAATTTCAATCAGGGATTACATTTAAGTCTGATCCTTTCTAGTAGTTTTAGGGACATTTCTGCTTTGATTATGATGCCTTCATCGCAGCTGCATGGTCATCTAAAAGAATAAATGTAGACCCAGTAAAAGCAAATACACAGGCTACAAGCTCTAAATTCAGTTTGTGCGTGTGTGCGTGTGTGTGTGTGTGTGTGTGTGTGTGTGTGTGTGTGTGTGTGTGTGTGTGTGTGTGTGTGTGTGTGTGTGTGTGTGTAGCTCTTTGCTGGAGCAGAAGGAGGATTTGCGGAAAAGGCTTTCCTACACAACTCACAAACTGGAGCTGCTGCAGAACGAGTTTGACTCCACGCGGCAGTACCTGGAGACGGAGCTGCGGCGAGCCCAGGAGGAGCTGGACAAGTTCACAGATAAACTGCGCAGGTGGTTCACACAGCATGTGTCACTAAACAGCCTCCTGAGAATGCGTAACAGTAATAATGCATTGGGTCAAAGGGAGCAAGAAGTTGGGATTTATCTGCTGAAAATGTCTGGAAACACCTAAAAAGTGAAGGTATTAAAAAGAAATCTTGGCTAAATTTGGTTAATTTAAATCTACTTTATGCTGAATTTTGAGGTAATGACTCAAAATAGGTGGGCTGCATTGTGGTGCAGTGGTGCCAAGCATCAATATGGTCACAGGTTCAAATCCCGGCTGCAGCCTTCCTGCATGTTCTCCCCATGCATGAGTGGGTTTTCTCCGGGTACTGCCTTCTCCTCCCACAGGTCAAAAACGTGCATGTTTGACTTCACCTTTACATTGTTTGGATTTGCAAAGTGAAAAAACACGAAAGGTGCAAGAACGTTTGTTGCAAAAGCCCAGAAGTTGTCTTCCAAAATTCAAAAACAGAAGCTTCTTGGCAGAAACGTTTGTGCTAGGCTGTCATCAATGGAGTCCTAAGACCTTACTTCACTATGGCAATAACAATAAAGGCATTGTTGCAGCAGCAAGTCCTCCCTTAAGCTCACGAAGAATACTATCAAGAATTAACCTCCAGTTTTTGCATAAATGTGAAAAATGAGTGAAATGGCTTTTTATTTAGGCAAAAGTCATAAACATTGTTTACACATTTGATTGAAACATTTAGTTTTGTAAGGTTTTTCTTCACAATTTGCAGGTTTTTACAGCAAATAATAAATCAGTGTCTGTTTCAACAAGTAAACCCTTAAAAATCCAAAAGATACAAAATTGTAGACTAATATTGAGCATAAGAACACGTAAATGCAAATTAAAAGATTATCTGGGAGATCAAATCTACTGTAGGCTGGAAATTCCTCTTACAGAGTTCTTCTGCGATTGTTTAAAAAATGTTCAACCGAAGCTTCGCGTGAGAGGGCATCAGCAGAACCCTGCAAGCATCATAAATCATAAAAGCATCATAAACGAAAGTACATGGGCTGAATGGAGCAGCGTGGGGAGTGAGTGGTGGCTTTCAGAAGCCATCACGCTGCTTAACGTGCAGATTTTTGGATTACATGTTCAGTATTGAAGTAAACGTGTTGTTGATTGTGTCGTTCAGAATACAAAGCAGCTACTCAGCCCTGCAGAGAATCAACCAAGACCTGGAGGAAAAGATCCACAGAGATGTAAGTGCCTAAACTTGCATGCATCTGTAAACGTGGCCAGTTATGCAAATGCCCAAACTTGTCAGAGAAGAAAGAGGCGCACATGAGCAAGTCACGGCTCGCGGAGAAGCTGCAGAACAGTCGGAGCGCCCAGATTGAGCGTAAACCCCCTGCTGTTTATGTTGCTGACATTAATTACGGCTTATTACGATTGGCTGTCCTCCTTCCTCTGGCAGAGGGAAAGCTAACCCATTGTTCCTCGGAGCAGCACACCTCACTTCACTTCCAAGCTGCTGCTTTTAGCTTCGTGGAAAGATAGAATTAACAAGTCTGCCTGGGAACACTGTAACCATCAGGCGTCTTTGCTGGTGACTAGACAGCTGAGAACACTCATCGGATCAGTTTGCTGCACCACAGATCAACCATCATCAATGGTGACGTGTGAGGCACGCAGCTATAGGAGAAGCTTAAGGTCCGCAAGATTTCTTTTTCAGTGCTCTTTTTCTACGAGAACCCGTTTGCGATTCATCTCACGCACGGCCTCCTCGAGAGTTAGAGAGAAGCTGAGTAAGTTTCGCCGCAATCGTAAAACTTGTTTACTCCAGAGGTGCCACAGAGCCATCTGACCCCTGAGCCCTGCACAGCTACAGAGGGTGTAATTGCAAAACCAATAAGCACGAGTGTCAGAGCTTCTTACTCCCAGACAAGTAAAACTGCCCACCTGAACCGCCCAGGTCACAACCGCCTCTGCAAACACAGACAATATTGACAAGTTGGGGGATTTTGAGACTTTCTATCAATTAATGGAGTTTACGGGCATCTTGGTCTATAAATACCTTTTTGAAAAATACTCAGCTGCAATCAGCTTTCTGCCACTTTAGCTGGAGTGGTTTCTGTTATTAAATCTTTTTTTTAAATCAAATGAGACATTTAACTGAGGTCAGAAAAGCACGAAAAGGGGGAGTTTTGTCTCTTTTTCTTACAAAGAAGAAGCACGTGAAGGGGAATCATGCCATTTCAATGTGTTTCTGCCAAACTGGGTTCATCGCATTTTCTTTTAAAAGCCACCTGCTTCCATAAAAGGAACCACTTCTAAGTAAAGGCCAGAGCTATTTTTGGATGTCCGTGGTGAAGTAAAACGTATAACCCTCTAGCCTTTCCCAGGATTTGCTCCGTTTGTTACAAAATCCTGATGATGTTCTGTGATGCTGTCAGTCTCAGCACCATGACGACGAGAAGCGAGCTCTGAGCAGAGAAATCATCGTTCTCAACAACCACCTGATGGAGGCGAAGCTCACCATCGAGAAGCTGCAGGAGGATAACGTAAGTCGGAGCTCAAGCAGACGCTTTTCTGCACAATGCAAGACTGTTTTCTCACAATTCTGCTGGAGAAAGTGTACTCAAATGCAAAATTAGCATTCGTCCCCAACCACAGAGCAAGTAATTATCTTTTTCATCCTTCCAGGAAATTAAAAACTCAAAATTATAATTAAAAATGTTAAAAACCAGAGTTTTTTTTTAAATATCTTCCTGCAGCTGAAGAACAATTAACCTGAAATTATAAAACAGAGTTAGGGCTTCACTACACTAAAACTCTTCTCATTCTATAAGTTTCACTTTATTGGTAAAACTTAATAAATAAAAGTCCAAATCAATTTATTTCTTCATTTTGAAGAAGCGGTGCAGATCTCAGGAGGCTAAAGCAAATTTCTCATATCCTCATTTTGTTTATTTGCATTTTCTTTGGCAGGACGTGTACAGGAAAGACTGCAGCCTGGCGGTTCAGCTGCTGCAGTGCAACAAGTCTCTTTACAGGGCCCAGCTCTCTGAGGTGAGTCTGCATGAATCAGAGGAACGCATATAAATGTAAAAGACTTTACTGGAGCTGCACGGTCCAAGTAAGTGTTTTTGGAAGCAGTTTAAAGCAGAAATTTACTCAAAAACAAAATGCTTGTTGGCTCGACTGCAACAAGAAGGTCATCTTGCCCTGTGAGAGCCAAGAGATGATAAGAGACACGACTTGGCAGAGTGATGGGAACAGGAAGTCGTTGCAGGAGTGACGGAAGAATTGAAGCTATTGTTCAGAATAACCTTCAGATATAAGAGGTGAAAAGGTTCAAGTTATTAAAACATGTTTTGATTCAGCTTTAGGTGCTAGCTCTAAGGCTAAACAGTGTAAAAATATATATAAAAAAACTAGTTAACCACCTTAATCACAATAAATCCCTGCGTGCACAAGATCTGACAAGGCACAAACGAAAAACTGTAAACTAGAGAGGACAAAATAATAAGTATCCACAAACGGAAAGAAATAACTAATTAAAAGGATTATTTCTTATTTTATCTGTAATCTTGTGCATCTTTTGGCAAATAAGGCAGCAATTTAGTTGCAAACATGATTAATAAAAGAGTATTAATATAAGAAGCAAACAATAAGTGTCCACGACTCATGGAACCACTCTGTTCCAACAAGCACATGCATGTTCATTAATGGACTGATAAAAGAATAATTTACATCATTAAATGCCTGCTGAAATGATCATTAACAGCTAATTTAGCTAATTTTCTACACAAACACACATTTCCTTCGTTAATGCCTGGAATACCCTTCACTCCCATGTTTCTATGTACAGAGGGTTAAAAAACTATAAATGCATTTTTTCTTTTCTTTAAAGCTAAATTAGTTTTCTGTTTTTACTAATAAGCTCTTCATATGTCCACAATTAAATATTTGTAGCAGTACGAACTCCTCAAGTACTTCTATCTAGTAATTGCACGATATTATTAAAGGTGTGGATCACTGAAAACCCATTTCAGATTATTTCTGATTATAACGGGTCACTTTGAGTTTTTCATGCAGGCTGAACATAAAAATAGTCTCCTACACCTATCTACTGCATTAGCTTTTGATAGAAAATAGAGAATGAAACTCAGGGATTGGAAAATCCTGACAAATTTATGTCACATTGTAACTTAACATTTATGGACTCACCCATCTTCACTCACGATGGGGAAGGCTGTTTTTGGTTTAGCATCCAGGAGACAGCAGAAAACGTCTCAATTAATAGGGACAGCAGTAGCTCAGGAGGTAGAGAGGGTAATCGGAAGGTTGCAGGTTCGATCCCGGCTCCGACCAGAGAATGCTTCTGTTGTGTACTTGGGCAAGACACCTAACTCACCCCAGTGCAGCTGTGACTACCTCGTAGCTCATCCCCTCCATCATATGAATGTGTGGGTGAATGACTGATTGTGTTGTAAAGCATCTTGGGGGGTTGTAGAACCCTAAGAAGGTGCTATATAAATACGGGCCATTTACCATTTAATGGAAGCTAACCATTAGCATTAGCAACTCCACCACACAGCAGAACTCCTTCAAGCTTGTCTTATTAGTGTTGCTGATATCCAGTCGAGGGCGAGATGCCCAAATATCAGAAAATAAAACACCAAAACCCACAGATGTGGACGCCTTGTGGACTGGCACTGCCTATTAGAGCTGCCATAGCGGGTGTCGGCCATCTTGGATGGGTCTCCATTCGCCTCTTGCGCCTTCATTTCTACCGAGGAAGGTGCTTACCCAACTAAAAAACACATTTTCTTATGCTTTTTCACAACATCAGACATATAGTAAGGCATGATAATTAAATCATTATATAATTAAACTAATTAAATTAAAATATAAAATCCCAACTAGTAGGCTAGTCAATGGTAATCCCACATTATCTGTTTTCAATACTGTAGTCTGTAGAAAAAAATGGGCATAGTTGCTCACTCTGTGTTAACTCTAGTTGGGTTTGGAGAGTAAGGAGACCCACCCAATATGGCAGCGACACTGTTACGCTCTCCAGCGCCCAAAGGGGCGTCTATGTATCCATGTCTACCCCAAAACCTGCTATCTGAAGCTAAGCTGTGATGTAGGTCACTGCTAGTTGCACTGGTCATTTTTTCCTACTAGAGACCACTGCAAATGTATTCATTAAATGAGTGAACCACACCTTTAATTTTTATTTGCATTAATTTTGTAAAGAACATAAACCACATGCATGTTTGATGAAGAATTGGAACAGTAAAATTTAAGGCATCTTAGCTAAACTGCATGTAATTCCAAAATGAAAGAAACTGCAGCCCTGAGTTCAGGGTTGGCTTAGCACTGTGAGGCACGTTCAAAATGTGTGGTTGAATTCTAACTGGGAGCAAACTGCAGCCTCATCACCGTCCCACTGTTGGTTGTGAAAAAAATGCAAACGTGTATTGATGAGTGTGTTATCACTAGATCGGCCTGGCTCTACTATCTGCTGCATCAGAGCCTCGTGCCTTCCCAGTGTCATTAGAGCTGGCTCACGTCCACAAGGTGCAAGAATGCCTCTCTACTTTATATGGCTGAATATAAAAAAATAAATAAACGTATTGGTGGAAACTGCATTTGCTCATAAAATAGCAGCCCTGCTTATAAAGAGAGCAACTAAAGACACGCATGGCTGAGGATCCATCATAAAAGTGAGAAACTGTTAAGTTGGCTTTCTGCGGAACATAAAGGGGGTCAGAGGCTACCTGTGAACTCACTGTACGTCCACCGGTCTGCTGATCCTGTGGGTGGAAGTTAATCGAAATCATACTGATGAATGTTGCTGCTGCACTGTTGAGAAATGCAGCGGCTCTTCCGCGCCCGCTTAGTTGCCTGTTATGCTGCACAACAAGCCCAGAGAGGGTGTGAAGCGGCTGGACTCTCATGTCTGAATGCAACAGTACGCTGAGCGGCAACCTGTACTAATAAGTTTCAAAAGAAACATGTGAGCACAGCAATTAATCTGCAATTTGATTTTTCAGTTGTAATCAAATTCCTGCAATAAAATGTCATTTTTTACATTGAAATGAGCTTTAATTTAAATCCTAATTAGGAAAAAGTTCCTGGTGCTGCTGTTGACACGCAGCTTGTTGCTATGGAGAGGAAGCAAGCTAGATGATGTAAGATTTCTTCCTGGGAGATGCTCAAATTGGAACAGTGCCTTTAACTTCCAAGAAATGTGGCTGTTTGTCTTTATTTTCACTTAAAGTCTATTTTAACTCCCTTTGAGCGGTGCCTCAGAGAAGATGGTGCTTTTTTACACTGTAGCCATGAAAACTGTTACTGCAGACAAAGACAAGCATGCACGTGTCACACTGGCACACTGGAACAAGAGAGTAAACACATCAAAACAATAGTGTGCATGTAAATAGTTTACCATATAAAAAGGGTTGTCGGGGCAAAAACTGGATTCCGTGTTTGAGATAGTGAGTCTCACATCACTGTGGAGGGATTGTGTTCAACTCAAAGAATCGCTTGATTTCAGCCACGTCTGACAGCTTTGCAGCTAGAATGGTCCGTTAAAGGTCAAAGGTCAGATGTTTTGGGGCAGAATTCATGGTTCCAGGTCTTGAAGCAGCAAAGTGGCCCCAGACCATCACACCACCAACCCTCTTACTGCTGATTCAGCGGTGGCGACGTAGCATGGCTTCATACTTAAATTACCGTAATTCTTAGACAGCCTGCGCAATCAATGTCATTCAAGCAGATTCAGAAAGCTGGGACCCTGTCCTTTCCAAAATCACAAATCACTTCCTGTGGAAGGAATGCAACATTGGGCTTTGTCTTTACTGAAATACAGCATCAGTTAGTTAGCTGGAACAGGACACACACCTTCCGGAACATATCCTAAAAGCCTTTTGGCCCTGGATGTCTGCCACAGATTGAGCAGTGCTTGTTGAGTTCTTTTAGCCTACTACTACCCAAATCCAAATTTTAATAATAATAATACATTTGATTTATGAAGCACTTTACATTTGAAACTAATCTCTAAGTGCTACAAAGTCAATTTAACCCGAAAGCACTGGTAAAAAGATAAGTTTTAAGACCAGATTTAAAAGCACCAATAGCCTGTGGTGTCCTCAGATGCCCTGGGAGGGAATTCCAAAGTCTGGGTGCAGCTGAGCAAAAAGCGCAATCTCCCATGGTGCGAAGTTTAGTCTTTGGAGTTTTCAAAAGACGTACTGATGCAGAGCGGAGGTTGCGTGTGGACGTCTGTGAAAACAGAAGTTCTTTAAGGTGTGTGTGTGGGGGGGGACAACCTTGTAATCAATTCTAGATGAAACCGGGAGCCAGTGAAGAGATTTAAGAATGGGCGTAATATGGTCATATTTGCGTCCTCTCATCAGGATCCTAGCAGCACAGTTCTGAATATACTGCAGCTTTTGAAGGATTTTTCCAGTAGTCCCAATGAGAAGTGCATTACAGAAATCCAGCCTGGAGGAGAGAAACGCATGGACCAACTTTTCCACATCAGCAAACACTTTTTTTTAATGCTGATAAATGAGTGTCTAATGGTGCTGTGGACAAGTGTGGTCATCCTTCTGGCATTTTAATGCATCTCATTTAAATGAACAGTCTTAACGCCTAAATCATGTTGGAAGGAAGGTTATGCCGAGACAGATTTCATGTTTCATCATGACAAGCCCTGTTTTATTTGTAATTTCTGATGAAAACCCGACAGAGGTGTGATGGAATCGTTGGTCATCTAAGCGAATCAGCCAGTCTGCCTCACACAGTGAGACATCAGCTGTTACAGAAAACTGTCAGAGTCAGAAATGTATAACCGTTTTCTCACGTAACAGCTTCTAAAACTAGGAGACCAACTGTAGTCAGCTCAAAAGTGGTTCATGGTCACAGTTATGCAAACGTCTTATCAAAGTGCACACACAAAGCATTTTGTTGAAGAATGCTTACTGACTGGTTGTCACAGAAGTTAATTATTATTTCCATTAAAGGAGTTTTTAAAAAGGGGTTTCTCTCTTTCTTTGGCCATTTTAGCTGCCTGCTGATTTTCAGGAGCGACTGACGGTGCACCTGGAAGAGTCTCCTCTCTGTCACGACTACCCTGACTCCACTTCCCTCATTGCCAATGTGCTCGAGAAGCCAGATGAGGCCTGCAGCAGCAGTCAGGTCTCCCGTTCACCTAGCCCCCAAACCCAGGATCATACTTTTATTCTGGAAAGACTGGGCCCCGGCGAGCGCCTGGGGCTCCGCGCGGCCTACAAATCTGACCTTTACAGCAGCGACACAGCCCTCTACTGCCCTGACGATCGTCACCGTGAGAGGAGGCCAAGCATGGATGTTCATGGTTACAGGACGCTGCTGTATGGGCCCCAAAACTCCACTGACAGCACTCCAGAGGAGGGCTCTGTGGGGCTGAGGGCTGAGTTCTCCCAGGAACATTTTGCTAAGTTCCCTGCCACGTTAGGTGGAGGTTCCAGCTCGTACTCCAGCTTCAGTGGAGGTGGGTCTGAGGACAAAGGCAACGACCCGCCCAGCAGTGCAGCTTCCTCACCACACCATCACTCCCTCTATATGGAATGGAGGGATGCAGGGGACTATGAGAGGAAAAGTGACTCATCCTGGGAGAGGGACAGTCCAGGGAGCTTCTCCAATGCTCACCCCTTCCAACAGAGCGAGATGAGCCACCACCAGAATGGCAGCTCTCCAGTCTACAGCCGTACCATGTCTTCTTGTTTCAGTGAGCCCTATGAGCCACTCCCTCCGTCCTCCTCCCCAAGCGTCGCCTACGGAGACAGTCGACGAGGCAGCACGTTAGCCCCTGAAGAGGAGGAGCTGATTGGTCGGTGGAAACAACTCAGCGTTGAGGACTTAAGTGCCAACTCTTACCGCAGCCCGGGCCGAGCTTCACCTTACAGCTTCTCAGAGCAGCATTTTTCCGTACGCCCTGCTAAGATCCGGCTCGGGCCGCTCTACAGCAGTTTCCAGGAGGGAGCTGACTACTACCATCATGGAGCAGATGCCATGGACCCGGTGTGGGTTGCTGCCAGCCCCGAATGCAGCCCAGGTCTGAGGGACGCACACAGCCAAGCTCACCTGTTCCGAACCGAGGACAGCCAAGAGTCAGAGCACAGTCTCTACCACTCAGGAAGCTCCAAAGACATGGAGGGCAACGAGGCAGCAGCCGGCCAGAGTACGGATTACGTAGACCCCAGTCCAAACAGCTCCACTGAGTCGCTCAACCAGAGGTCTCTAGAGATGGGCGAAGAGCTGCAGCACTATCAAGTGGAGATGCACAGCATGCCTGCACAGGTGAGCCAGCCTCCTTCACAGACCCCACCTCCTCCCTCACCTTACAACCAAAACTTTGGCTCTTTGGGACTTTCCAGGAAGGACAGTCTGACTAAGGCCCAGCTTTATGGGACTCTTCTGAACTAAGGGACTTTCCAGTCAGGTTTAATCGAACACACAATGCCTTGGTGTGCTCAACTACACCTTCAGTTGCTGCTACCATTCAATGGTCCTGAAGAGCAGCCGGGACAGCCCGATAATCCCTGAAGATGTAACCACTGAAGATCATCTAGGAGTCTTGGTTATGGAAGGGGACTGCAGCTGTTTGCAATAGGACCGACTCGAGGAAGCAAGTCAAGACTCAAATGAGCTGGAACAAGCGGGGAGGAGCTTACGATCCCTTAAAGTGCATAAGAACGTGTGTATTTAAGTTGCCAATGTAAGAATATACTACAAACTGAGTGATATATTTTATGTGAAGCTATTAGCAAGAAATACATTCAAAAACAAGTTCAGATCTTCTCGATACTCCTGGAACTTGTATATAAATAAAAACTGGCGATGCCATAATTGAAAACTTCGATTTGAATCCAAGGATTAGCTTCAGTCGATGTTTTTAAGTGACTGAATCCGCGTCGGCCTTGTGCGACACATTTGAAAGGGGAAATCAAAGCCGAATCCTTTAGATGACAAACACATTTTTCTTCTCCTAACTGAATTTGACAGTATCGATGGGTGTATTTTGTTGTTATTGATGGATCGTTCTTGAGATGTAAACATCTGTCTTAGCAGTCGTATTACTTTTTCATTCATATTATTCTATAATCGAGAGGTTGTCCTACCCCCACTCTACCTCAAATTTGGATGCCCACGCCCCGTCTAAGTCTCTGTAACCCACTTTATTTGACAATGACGCATGTTTCTATATTTTGGTTGTTTTGTTCTCTTAATAAAGCACAAATTCTACATAAAACCTTCATGGATCCACGTGTGAGATGTGCATTAAATCTAGCTGCTTTGTTGTTGTTTCATGACTGAAGTCAGCTGGGGCTTTTCATCACTCAGATTGCTGCAACCACGTGGCACAAAACTTGCTGAGTCACCGTGAGGTTTGCTTTTGTCACCGTTGTGAATTTAAAAATAAGTTAGTAGAGAGGGATTTCTGCAAAGATCAGCAAACTCTAAACAGAAAGAAAGTTTCTTCCATGCAGAGTCGTCGTCATGACGATGCTACATCATAAGAGCTCTCTATTTATACCAACATTATAATAATAGCAATTGTACCACATACTGTGCACCTCTTTATCTTTGATTTGTTTGGTGTGTCAGCCTCTAAATGTGAAAGACCTAAAGCATCTAAAAAAGGGTCTGATGATTATTAGGCTCTTTGTTGTGTTTTCTGTGCCCAAACAAATTATATCTGGGGTATTCTTAGGCTAGCATGTTACACTGTGATTAAAAACTGAAAAGAATAGAAGATTAAACATGTCTGCATGAAGGAAAATGGCAAAATATTTCACACATCTTAACTTCTGCCTCTCAAAGTTGAAGGTTTTTGTCTTATACATTATTCTAAACTAATACTTTAATATTTTGGTTTATTTTTTAGGCTAAGGGTATTTAATAACCCCCCCCCCCGATAAAATCAACAAAAAGTCACGGGCACAATCAAACTCAAATATCAGATATTCATTCCAGGTCCGTGAATACACCATTGCACCTAGCAGGTATAAATAAATAGAAAAATTTCTCAGTTTGCACAGTAAAAAAAGCTGTATATTTAACAGTGATAAACTGCAAAACCACGACAGGAAAAACCCGTCAGCTATAAAACCATTTAAATCTGTTGGTTTTATGTGAAGTTGCCGTAAATAAATGAGTTAGTGAGAACAGTAATTTGTACATTTTTTCTTTAAAAAATTACATAATCCTACTGTAAAGCACTCTTTTTTTCTGTTTTTTTTAACGGAAAATGCCCCTAAAGTTTATAATGTTTAAACACTGTGATTTTTACATTTATTTATTGAACAAAATTCAGCATTTAATTGTTGGTAATGGATGTTTGGTGTCGTTTGATGTTGTGAAAGTTGCATAACTTTTTGGAAGCACGTTTTCCAAAATTTCTTTAATCGGTTTTTGATGCCCGTAACGGTTAATAGTCGGTCAACTGTAAACCATAAAGTAAATTTATTTGATCATGTGACAAGCTCATCTCTTCTTCTGTGGTGTTAGAGTCAAAATATTTTCACAGCGGCTCTCTTGTGCCTTCTAGAGGCACAGAATATATTGTGGCAGTTGCTGGGAGTAGTTTACTTCCTGTTATCTAGAGTGCCAAGTGAGGACTGGCTAAACCGTTGTGCTGCTGTTCAATAGCGATGTCATTGCTGACTCAACAGCAATTACGCAGGAAAAGCTATTATAATTGGTTATGACATTAACAGCAGTTAATCCGTTAATTGTGTACATTCCTATTTCACACTATTAATTGAAGAGTGAAAGGTGATTTTATGTAATGAGGAAAACCATTTGAATGGCACAAATTTTATTTTATAGATTATTTTCATGTTCATTTTTCTTCTACAATAAAATACTGACTTCAGCACCACTTTAAATCGTAGAAACCATAAAAATACCTTCTCATCTTAAAAGAAAATAAAGTTTTGTCCGTAATTTTACAGTACTATTCTGGCAACCCCCGCTGCCGGCATTTTACTGGAAAATCTACGTATTTTTTTCTTTTTTACAGTCTGTGAACTATGGCTAAGTGCAAATTCATTCCTGCAATAACAGGTCTTCCTTGTGGAACTACCCACATTTTCCTTGGCTCTGCAAAACAAAAGCTCTAGTGTGCAGAAATTCTGCATCACAACACACAGTGAACTTAAACTCTGATGCTTTGAAGGGAGTAAGCAAGAATGTGACCTCACCATGAAGGTAAATGTGACAGCTCAGCTTAGCTTTGATCCTGATGTGTCCAGAACTTGGTGTAGTGCTGAGAAAAGATCATGTTGTGTTTAAGATTTAAAGGAACTTGGTTTGATGGATACAAGAAACTAGAAAGATTTTTTGATAATTTTTTTAATGTTTTTTGGCAATAAAATGTTTCTGTTCCACCTTAAATAACGCGACTTTTTCAAGTCTTGTGTGGAAGAAAATGTTCTGAAGGATAAATGGCAAACAGCAAAACTAAAACCCCGGAGAGTTATTTGGGGGTGATAAAACCTTCTACTTCAGAACAACCACTTTCAAAATAAAATCCTTTATAATCTCCCATCATCTCTATGTAATGTTCTTCACAGATCCTTAATTATCACATTTCATTAATGTTTTTACCCCCAGGGTGGCAAATAGAGTTTTCACAACCCATCTCTGGCAGAATTCTGTCTCTAAGGCTGCAAAAGATTAGTCCAAGAACACTTAAGTCCCTACAATACCATCACCAGAACTGGCCTCTGGTCAGTTGGTGAGTCCAACCATCCTTCTGCTCATGTCCCACAGGGACTTGGCTGCCTGTTCATCTGTAGCTTTATCCATCAACTCCTCCTCCTCGCAGTCAGCAAAGCACTTCCCCGACACGCCCTCCACCTCCTGGGAGCAGGCCAGATAAAGCGGCGTCTGAGCTCCTTCCAATGGACTCTTAAAAAAGAGCAGCGAGGCGAGATGGAACAGTGGCTTAGCCAGCAGAGGGATTTGAACGTGTCTGCCCAGTCGGGTCCGCACGATGCCCGGGGTGAGGGCGTTGACTGTGACCCCCGTTCCTTGGAGCTGATGAGCCAGCTGGAGCGTGAACAGCAGGTTGGCTAGTTTGCTCTGACTGTAGCAGAAGGCCTTGTTGTAGCTCCTCTCGCTGTTCAAGTCATCAAAGTTGATGTGGCCGTATTTGTAAAGTTTGGAGGAAACCACGATGATGCGGCTCGGCGCCGAAGCCTTCAGACGGTCCAGGAGAAGGTGAGTGAGGAGGAAATGACCCAGGTGGTTCACTCCCAGCTGCATCTCAAAACCATCTTCTGTCTTAGAGTAGGGACACTGGTAGATGCCAGCGTTGTTTATCAGCACATCAACCCGGGATTCCTCCTAACAACAAACACATTTAAAACATTTTAGATTTTGCATTATCAAAATAAAATCACATCATTTATTTATTACTAAACACATATTTATTTTCTTTTGTTGAATTTTGAATTATTGTAAAGGACAAAGACAGTTGTGTTTAAGGACATCTAAAGTTGTGTGTGGCTTAATTTTTCACTGTTACTAGCCACCAACAGTACAAACTATAATCCCTGTATTTCACAAGTTATAATTATGTTATAAATTACTTTTTTTAACTCCTTTAAAGCCCAAGTTATTTAATTTGATTTGATATGTAGATGTATCTCACAGGCATATCAAAACATACATTTTAACTGGGAAGAAAAAAAGTTGATTAACTGAAGGCATCTTGAAATAAAATTAATTTGTTCCATAATAAAGACAATGAGGCTGTGAGACACCTAGTGGTTATGAGGGGTAACCGTCAGCGACTGACTGAAGGGTCTGACTGCCAAAGTTACATTGAAGTTGACATTATTTTTAACTATTTGACACCAGACGTTTATAATACAGATTAAAATTAAATTAAAATACTGGGCAAAACAGTTAAAAAAGCAAGTTTCTCTATAGTATGCTTTACAAAACAAGCAGCACTAACTGCTACTTTATTATTCCTGTCAACAATAGTCAAAATAAGCTTTTTTAAGCCAATGCTGAAGGTTAAGCTAATACAACCAGCACATGTTACAATAAAGGGGACAGAAACGCTCCAAAATCACCATTACCAATCTGACTGCATGTAAAAGAACCCCAACATGCACAGGGCCCAACATCTCAAGACACCCCTAGCGAATATTCAAGTCCTAAATAACCAGTAGTTACATTTTTCCAGATGAAAATTAAACTATGACAACTTTGATATTAAACAATAAAGGGTCCTATATTTAAATTCACCGTATGGAATAATAGTCATAATAAAACTTAGTTTGGAACTACAGACTGGTTCCAATTTGGATTCTTTGGCCCTAATTATTTCAGCACCAGGGACAGTTCCCCTAAATGCAGCTAATGCTACTTTTGGCCTCCATCACAAACAATAGGTACTCTTCCAGAGTACACTCCATTCTGATTGGTCACCTACCTTGTTAACTTCCTCACAAAATTTCCGTACTGATCTGAGAGAAGCGAGGTCCAGGTGTTTGACGACCACCTCCCCCTGATCTGACCGCGCTTCCCTCCTGATATCCCGGGCAGCGTCCTCAGCGCTCCGCAGATCCCGACAGGCCATGATGACCCGGGCATGTAGCTTCAGCAGCTCCCCGGCCAAGGCCTTCCCTATCCCGCTGTTAGCCCCGGTGACTATCACGGTCTTTCCTCCCATGACGCCGGCTGGATACCGGAGCAGTTTAACTGGTTTCTGTCTGGGGAATAGACGGCGCATCAGGAGCAGAACTCCACCGCCGACCACAGCGGCTATTAGCACGGCTGTAGCCATTGACGAAGAGGACGGGACTGCCAGCATCCGTTGTTATGTTTACATACGTAACCCGGAAATAGTTTTACGACCGATATAACGCCATTCGTTAAACTAAAATTAACAAAATATTCTAATATATTAAATCTAATGTAAAACTATGTAGTTTACGTAACAGTATAAACTTGAAAAGTTAAAGTTAGCGTAACTATTTAAAAATTGGGTTTTGAAAACAACTTCCGGGTTTTTATAACGGAACGTGTTACGCAGTGTACCATGTACCTTCAGCGGTTCTCCTATTTATTAAGAAGAAAAACACGAAAAATAGCTACAGTGATCTTAATAAAAACCTATAAGAATCCCAACAAAGATCGTAAAACCATAAGAATAAGAAATAAGAATATTTAGTGTCCATTTTTATTGAGTTTACTTTACAGTACATCAACAACCACTAGATAGCGCAATTACAACAAAAATAAACACCCAAACCAAACCAGTATCCACTACATTTTAAATGTATTTATTTTACATGTATTTGTGTACAGTAAAATAAACTTAACTAAACTAAACGTATATTTAAGTATCCTCGTCTCTCCCTGGTAAGAACAAGAAAGCTATAAAACGTTTTTCTAAATAATAATTAAAATAAACAATTTTAATTTAAATTATTTGATTTCGAAATTATCTTTATTGTTCCTTTGGCAAAATGTGTCATGTGAAATGTTTTATGACACAAATCATGTCGTCTGATGTGGATATTTATTTTATTATTTTATCCAAATACGTCTTGCATGGTAAATAATAATTTATCGTCTGACATGATAAGCACGTGATTCGTTCCTTTTTTATTTATTTATTTTTTTTCATCTTGTCTGGATGTTTCACTTCGAGGAGCTGCCCTCAAGCAGCTTCACTTCCCCTTTTTTATTCGTCCCCTGTTGGGTAACACCTCCCGTTTATTTCAGGGTTTGCTTCAGTTCCTGAAAGCTGAGGAGCTGGTGGAGAATGTGCGCTCAGCTTCAGAGCAGGACGCGCTCTCGTTTCAGTCCCTAAAGACGCGGACGCTGGAGGAGATGTTTCCCCTCAAAGTTTCCTTTCTTGTGGCTTGGATCCTCTCCATTTGTGAAGGTAGGAACGTTTATTTGAGGACTGTACATGTTTTTGTTGAAAAGAGAAACACGTGAAATGACTGAGTTCCGGCCAGTTTGGAGGACTTTTAGGGGACATTTTGGTTTCATTATGAATATTTCTTTGGGTTATTTTAATAATCATCCCATCAGCATGACACTAAGCTACTATTTTAATGCCATTCTAACCCACAAATGGATTTTTCATAAAAAAACAACTATAATTTTATTTCTTTACTCCCACAAAACAAAACAAATAAACGCCCCTGCTGAGTTTTACTTATATGAATCATATGAATGTTATTTTTTTATTGCTTGGATGCATCTGGACAGATGTTAAGAAAATCAAACATGCACAGAGCTTTGTAGATTTTAATGTAGGCTACTTTTTAAAAAACTCACCTTTACTCCCTTTAAAAAGTAGAGCCAGGACACTTTTTCTCTAAGAACCTAAAAATGCATTCAGAAGAAAAACACATGATACAAAAGACACCTTTTCTCTATTTAAAATTTTAAAGTTCTTTTTCCAGCTGTTGGGTAAATCATAACTCAGTGATTGTCATAATAATCTGTGATAAAAAACCTGATTTATTATTGTTGGTAAAGTTATTTATACCACACAGCAATTTTATTTTAGATTTTCTAATCTTTAGCATTCTTTTTGTTGATTTTCCCTTTTTTAGAAGGTCTACGAACCTCGTGAGAAGCAAAATGTCAAAACGTTATGCGATGCACCTTTTTCTGCTTTAAACCGGATGTTTGCAGCAACTTGTGTTTTGCCATAAAACATCAGCGCTAAACTGTATTCACCTTTAACCTCAGACAGCTTTATAATAACTTCTTTATACTATTAGAGCTGCTGTACCATGCCTTGTGGTGTTCATGACCTCTCTGCAAACCAGAATGTCCCTGCAAACTGCAAATCCTCAGAAAGCTGCAGAAATCAGGCAACCACAAACTTCTTGTTTCAAAGAAATGTGACAATCCAGTGAGGGTCGGGAGGAAAGCATGCAGAAATGCAACTACTGTTGATGTATTTGTTTTTGAGCAGGACCAGAGTGCACGAGAGAAAGATAACATCAGAATACCACTCTGAATGTTCTGTGTGAATCCCCTTTGGGATGTTTTGAAATGTTTCACAAGAATAAAAGGCTGGAGCGCTAACAGTAATGGAAGGAAACGTTCTGAAGAATGAATTAAACCGAACAACAACACGGGGGCTCTTCAAAGACAAGATCCACCATAAACCGAGTCTAAAAAGTGTCGCTTCCTGCAGGTCGGCATGACAACATCTGCAACGTTGAGCCTAAGGACCTGCAGGTGGAGGAAGGCTCCAGTGTGAGGGTGACGTGCCAGTCATCGTGCGTGCAAGGGAAAATCTTCTGGACGATAAACAACAACCGCATTAATGAAAGTATTCCCGTTAACGCAACACATACCGCCTTGTTCCTGAGGAACTTCACTCGTCCGAGTGCAACTCTGCAGTGTCACAGTTCCTACACCGACCAAGTCCTCGGAGGCACCACCATCAGAACATTTTGTAAGACTCACTTTCCTTCATTTGCATTGATTAATGTTGGAGATGACACTCCTTACATGGGTTTCTTTTGCAGCAAAGCCCAAAAACATCTCTTGTGTCATCCTCCATATAAGCAACGACGGTGCCCCAGACCTCCTCACATGCACATGGGAGCATCAAAGGAAGCATTCACTGCAAATAAACTACACCTTGCTTCTGTAAGATTCTTTATTTTGGACAATTCTTTTAATGTTTTTTTCTTTTTTCCCCTCATAACTACATTCATCATTATTTCAGGATCTCTCCTGGAAGTCCTTCTCCCACTGAGCTCTGCGACTCGCATAATACAAGCTGCACAGCAGAAACAATGTCAGAATCTGTAGTTTTATTGTTCGGGAACAACTACACTGTTATTGTAAGAGCAAAAACTGCTGCCTGGGAGGTGGACTCTGATCCGTTTGAGTTTACATTTGATCACATCTGTAAGTACAGTAAAACAACATCCTTCACTAAATTAGGCCAATGATGTTTTTAAGTTTTAATGATGGTTTTCTGTTCCCTCAGGGAAGATTAACCCGCCACAGGTAACGCTAACAGCTGACTCGGATCATCTGTTCATCAAGTTAGACTCAAACCCAAACCCAGACAAGTGTCAAGTGAAATACCACAAGGTGGGCCGAGTAAGAAGAAAGGAAAAGCAAACGATTGCTAATAATTAAACACAATCAGCCCTCCTGCTAGAATCACTGTATTAATTATCTCTCTGTCTCTTTTGTTTCAGGAATCATCGTCCAATAATAAAACCTCAAATGTAAACAAATCTCTTTCCCTATATGACAAAAGAATATACCAACTATGATATCAAATCTTCAAATATGCATAAAAAACTGATTTTTACATCAAATAGATGAAGAAAATAAAAATTTAAAAAAGAAATGATGTGATTATTTTCTTTATTACAGCTAATTCTTTTACTTTTGTGACTCTGAAAGGCATTTTTTAAATAATATTTCACACTCATATGGCATTAAACCATTTAAAACTCTAAAGGCATTAAACTATAATCTTTAGTACGAATTGATTTTCAGTCTTAGGCGTTTAAAAGTTCAGCTGGACAGATGTTGCTATTAACCAACACCGTTTTCTATGTACAGCTCTTTTTCATGACGGATCTGAAAACCTTTAAAATTGAAGACGTGGAGTCCTGCGTTACCTATAAACTCTCAGCCCGATGTGCCTTGAGTTATGCCCCATGGAGCGATTGGAGCCTGGAGAAGATGGTTCTGACCAAACTTAACAGTAAGATGGAATACTCAGCACCCTTTTTTCATTTTACAGCCATTGTCACTGCATTTTTGCTCAACATATTTTGATGCTAACTCATATTGTACAGAAACAGTAATTAAACAACAAAAAACAAACATCTGTGCATGCAGTTTTGATAATTTGTCATTTTTAGTATACTTTCATCTCTTAAATATTTAGAAAATTGCTATTCATAGCTTCGAGGATAGCCTCAGTTCAGAGAAAAGGCATTTACATCCAACATGACTGATAGGCTAATGGCTAGACTGAGCTACACTAAGACTAAAGTAGATGGCTGCCATTTTAAAACCAAACTTTCTCAACAGTTCATGCAAATGCATGCAATGATTTTTCAAACATGTCTGAAATTTCACAGTTTTAAGAGGACAACGATCTCAGTGCTGTTGAAAAGCCAGTTGCGGCAGTCTAAGCGTAAGGAGATGAAGGTGTGGATAACTGTCTCAAGTTCAGGGTGTCGTAGAATGGGACTCAACTTAGCAATGTTCCTGAGATGGAAGAAGAGCGAACAAGAGAACTGACATAAGAATCCAGGCTGAGAGTTGGGTCAACGGTCACACCAAGATTCCTAATAAAGGGTTTGGGGTGAGAAGCAAGCTGACCAAGAAAGTCTCTGACTTTGGGAACCAGCTGGAGCACAGATGAGGATCTCAGTCTTATCTTCATTCAGCTGTAGAAAGCTCCCAGCCATCCAGGTTTTGATAGAGTCTAAGCAGGTGTGTAACAGCTGCGGCTTAGACATCTCATGGGGCTTAACGGAGATATACAGTTGGATGTCATCTGTATAAAGATGGTAGGAGATTCCTTTAAAGGAGCTCATGATGTGCTGCAGAGAAGGAAGAGTAGAGGCTCCAGCACAGAGCCTTGTGGGACACCATGGGTGAGGGAAGAATTCTAAGAATACCTATAAATATTAATTCTACATTATACAAGCACTGGATGATCTGAAAGGGAATACAATTCTGTTAATGACCTGAAAACTGATTTGTTAAAGCTGCAGGCTGCTAGTCGTCTTAGTGCGTGTGAACTTAGTCTATAGAAAAAATGATAAATAATTATCTACGTACATCTCAGTCCTGATGACAGTTAACAGATTCAGCCAAACCCACACTGAGAGTTGTGAGGGATTTGCATTCCTCAGCACTATTTCCTGACAGCTTCCCGGAGAACCCAAACCCAGCAGTGATTTAAGAGAAGATAGCGATTGTTTACAGCGGTTGCTAAGATCTCCAGGCTGTTTTGTTTTCTGTTCCAGGTGTGAAAGCAAACGTGCTTTCTCTTTTCTTGTTGTTTGTTCAGATCCTATCCAGTAAATCTTGCCTGAATGATCCTGTGTGATTAACGTTAGGATATTTTTTACCTCTAGAGCATCAGATCAGTCTTCTCCTTTGGAGGAAAGTGGCCGAAGAGGGAAGGAATGGAAAAAGAAACGTCCATCTCATGTGGAAGGTAAAAGAAAAGTCAGTGTTAATATTTCTGTATTACTTTTTGCTCTTATGCTTCCGTCTGTTGAACACAGAGGATTCCTTCAGCATGTGAAGAGTCCATCTCTTACAGCGTTGAACACAACAATGCAGCTGAAGGAAGCTATACGTCCTGTGGAAGCTCAGCTTGTGATGTCCAAGTGGACCAACATGCACACAGACTATATCTCAGAGTTTCCACGGGTGAAGGAACAATCCTAAAAGAGTCTGTTTATGTCCCAGCTATTGAAGAGAGTGAGTTTTACGGATCCTTTGCTTTACTGAGCATTAACTCCCCCTGACATGTGATTTAAAGCATAATCGTTTGGTTTTAATTGGCAGGCCTGCCTCGAGTCGCTGACATCCGAGCCTCTGCTCATGAAGGCGTCATCGGGGTTAGCTGGACGGCGCCTGCTCTGCCTGTCAGTGGTTACATAATTGACTGGACCCACAATGGAAGTCAATACAACTGGGAGAAGTCGACATCCACTAATGCAACTCTGCTGGGTAGGTCTGAGAGGTGTAAAGGGGGCAAACGGGGGCAAGACCGATAGATTGGAGAAAAGAAAAGCATTTGCACAGAGCGATCCATTTTCTCATTTGTCTCTGATCGTTGCATCAATGTCATCTTTTATCGACCTTGGAAAAGAAACTGATGGACTCATTAGTGAATTGTTGAATGGTTTATTTTTCTGAGAATTCAGATCGTGACCAACAGAGACCCAACTCTGCCAGGCTTAGAATCACGTGGGTAACATCAGAGCAGGGGTCTGCAACCTGCGGCTCTGGAGCCAAAAGTGCTTCTGTAGCCCTTTAATAATAACTGGCTACAAATTATAAAGTTCTAACTCTTATTTTTAATTATAGATGCATAGAAAATGCAGGCTTAATAGCTTTTCATGGTATAATTTAATTGAATTTCCACAACAGAGCGACTCTAAAAGAACCCGTTATATTTTTAAGTCTGTTTGTGTTGTTTTTATATAATCCTTTGCAAATATCATCATCTGATAGATATAATATGCATATTGTTTAAAAGGCACAAGTTCATCTTCTTAATTTTAAAACCTAATAACAGAATGTTCCTAGCAGGTCCTGCTGTACAGAGGATTAGAAAAAAAAAGGTGTGGTTAACTGAAAAAACACGTTTTTTCTGATTATAATCAGTCACTGAATTTTTCATGCAGGCTGAAGTAGTCTCCTACACCTATCTCCTGCATTAGCTTCTGATCGAAAGTAGACGTTGGATTAAGATTAGAAAATCCTGACAAATCTACGTCACACTGGGAATTGACATTCATGGACTCACCCATCATGACTCACGACGGGGAAGGTTGTTGTTAGTTTAGCATCCGGGAATCAGCAGACCTCTCGGCTAGTTTGAGCTAACCGTTATCATTAGCAGCTTCACCACACAGCAGAACTCCTCCAGGCTGGTAAAACGTCAGTGTTGCAAGTCAGTGGTAAAGCCGTGTTGCTGTTATCCAATCCGGGGCGTGATGTCCAAATATCAGGAAATAAGACTCCACATTCTCCCTCCTCTGATGTGGCAGACTTGTCCGTGCTGAAACAGACATCTCTGGGCTTTTTTTGCCCCGAGTACAGCTTGCAAGGAATTCATTCCTACCAGAGGCCACTGCAGATGCATTGATTAGATGAGTTTCACACACCTTTAAGACCTGAAGCTCAGCTGTGATGTGGGTAACTATTATGTTAGAGAAAGGTGCACCAGTGTATTTGTCCTCCCTGAGAAGGACTTACAAAGCAATCATTCCTACATATTCTTATCTTAACTTTGTTGTTTCCAGTTTTTCTTCATTTTAGTTCAGTTCTTTAAAGTTAATCCTTGATTTTTTGACTCTTCACTTTATTTGTAAAGCCTCCTCTTTGACCTTATCGGACGCCCAAGGCGCTGGACAATGCAACAAGCAACAAGTGCAAGTCAACCATTATGAAACAGCCATAAAACCTAATAAACAGGCCACATTACATGCAGGACAATGAAGTCACGCTGCAACACTCCGTTCTATCTTATGTTGCAACAATAGCTTGTACCTAAATATTTTCCCTTCTCTCTTAGGCCTGCGGGAGAGAACACTGTATAATATCACAGTCACGCCCCTCCTGGATGACAAGACGGGCCACAGCTCACAAACTCTTCACATCTGTTCCAGTACAGGAGGTACGTGGATTATTTTAGTTTCATAAGATTTTCTTCCCAATAAATTTAATAATATAAGACTTGTGCAGTTCCAGAGACGGTTGTCATCAGAAATGTTCAAGCTTACGACACAAGCGCCCTCGTCAGCTGGGACACAGAGTCAAAGAAGAACTGCAGTTCTGTCATCTCCTTCACCGTCTTCCACAAGCTTCCAGACGGACCGGTGCTCAGTCAGTTCCCTGCACATCTGGATAAAGTTTTCACTTTTCCTTTAGAAGCACGTCTGTATCTTGTTCTGTGGTGCCCTTCTTCTAGATGCTTCAGTGGATGGAAACAAACGGGATGTTCTTTTGAAAGATCTGACGCCGAATGCCCAATACTGGACCTACGTTGAGGCCCGAGGGCACGACGGGAATGCTTCAAGCATAAAAAGAATCTTCACCACCAAAATGTTTGGTGAGTAATGCACGAGAGCTTGTTGCAGGAATTAAAACATCCGATGATTTCAGATGTTCTCACCATGTAAGGATTAATGAATTTTCCCCACACGTGTCACCCTCTGGTTGCTCTGTGGAGTCGGATTACTTCTGTAGAGCCAAAAAATAAAAATAAAAAATCAGAGTGAAAGTTTAGATGCTTGAGATCGTTTTTCTCAGATCAAAACTCCCAACTTTTATTTCCAGGAGTGCAGAATTTGTTTTACGCCTCTGTCGGGTTAGGGTTGGGATTCTTTACCCGACAGAGTTGTAGGGTAAAGAATCCCAACCCAGAGCCGCGTGACATTCATGAATTATTCTCCAATTGGCCAACAAAATGTCTTAAGACTGTACTTGAGAGTTCAAAGGGAAAGGAGAGGCTCAGACTGAGACTGATCACCTGAGATTTTGATTTGGATGGATATATAATCATTTATATGAACAGGAAAAACAAGGTGGGAGGAGGGGTTGTGCTGTACTTAAACCTACTCTTTGTTGTAGAGTGGTGGAAAAGATGACATTCACAATTGATGGTGTTATGGAATGTATAACTGTGGAGATAAATATGGAAAAACATAAAAATGTGATAGTGAGTTGTGTGTACAGGGCACCAGGATCTTGTGTTGACATTTTTATGAGTAATATGGAAAAGATATTAGCTCTAAATAATCAGAATGTCATGTTCCTCTGTGGAGACTTTCATATAGATCTGTTGAACTCAAACAAACACAAAATGACAGAGGAATTTATAAATACAATGCTCAGTATGAGTTTTTATCCATTGATCACAAAACCCAGTAGAATAACAAAGCATAGCTAAACTTTAATTGACAATATATTTACCAACAATATGGAAAGCACATTAATCAGTGTTTACAATTGTTAAAATGTATTGATCTGATAAAGTTTAAAACCGCAGTAATCATGTTGAAGGCAAGAAATAAATTACTTCCATGTAATTTACAGAACATGTTTAATGATAAAGACCATGGGTACAATTTAAGAGGGGCATTAAACTTCAAAAAACAGAGAGTTCGGACAACAAAGACGAGTATGTGTACAACAATATGTGGGGCTGAATTATGGAACAATTTGAGTGAAGATCTGAAAAAATGCGTAAAGGTAAATCAATTTAAGAAGAGCTACAACAAACATCTATTGGATAATTATGTTGATGAGCTGGATTAAATAGAAATATACAAGAAGTTGATTGTTGAGTATGTTTAATATATTTGTTACTCTGTATTATTGTTATTTTTATATAGACATGTTTCTTAATTTTTAAATTTTGTTTTTGAGATAAGTTGATTAAGAATACGCGAGAAGGGGGTAGGAATGTACAAGTTTTACTTCTAACTACTTCTTTTCGGACTTAATTATTTGATTGGTTTTGTGTCGAGTTGTGTTGTTTAAAAAATGTATTTTTTTTACATTAGTTCGAAATAAAGGTCAGGTCAAGTCAAGGGGCTGTTTTACATCCCCATGTTTGTCTTGGCTTCGAACTTCCTGGTTTTCTTTAGATACGACTGGAATGAAAGGGGGACACCTCCATTTTTGGCAGGAGTTGAACAGATGTTAATCACATGCATTAGCAAAAGTGACTCATCACCATTTTTACGGGTTTACGTGCCTGTTTCAGCATGTCAGAGCTAATGAGGTGCATGCAGCTGCTGCTTCGCTGCAGCCATATTGGGATTTTCTTCAAAGAGGCCGTGTTTTGTTAGTTTGTCTTTGTTATTTCTAACTTTTCGTTGTGCATTAAAATCTCTGCATGGTCTGCAATCTAAAATCTTGTAGAAGAAGAAACAGTTGTTTCAAACTTTTTTGACATCCAGCTGATTTATTTTGGAGCATCACGATGAACCTGACCACTCAATGGCCGCCCCCGTAACTTATCACTTCACCGTAATGGATGTGATAAATGTTGTTTATGTGACAGCTTGCATATTCCTTCTACAGATCCCAGGCTCTTGTTGGTTCTCAGTGTCTCAGGAAGCATCCTCTTGTTGCTTTTGCTGTTTTTTGGGTTATGCTGCATCATTCAGTAAGTATCAGTCTTTAGTTATCCTTGAGGATGAGAAATGGATTTAAAAAATCATCAGAATAAAGGCAACCAAGCACGTTACATTTCGTATCTAAGGAGCTTTCTCAAAAGAAAGGTTGGGGAGAGACGGCACGCTCAAACAATTTCTCTGGCACTCTGTTCCATATTTGGCAAGGCAGCTTTATTTATAACGCACGTTTCATACACAGAGGCAATTCAGGGAGCTTTCCATTAGCGAGAAAAGCAAGAACATTAAAATCAATGTGACCGAAAATACAGCACGATACAGCATGAGAACCGTCATTCGAAGGATGATGGAAACATTAAGGTTTTCAATTTTGATTTAAAAGTTTCTAGAGTTATGGACTTTGAGATCATAAGGAAGCTGATTCCAGCTGTGCTGCATAGTAGCTAAACGCAGCGTCACCCAGTTTGGTTCTGACCCGAGGTTCCACCAGCTGACTGTTTCCTAAGGATCTCAGAGCCCCGCTGGGCGTATACGCCTGAAGGAGAGTCGATGTGTATTTTAGCCCATGCCGTTGAGTGATTTATAAACTAGTAGAAGCACTTTAAAATTGATTCTGTAGTTTACTGGTAACCATTTTGGTTCAATAGACAATATAAACAATTCATTTATTTTACTCACTGTTTTAAAAATAGTTTTGTTCATTTGAGGAGCTATTGGGGGCTTTTAAATAAGTCGAGCTTTAAGGACTAGCTCTCATAAAAATAAACAAATATGAAAAAAAATCTGCAGTTAACTCAATAAAAGGTGAGAAAGCTCCTTGTTTGAAAAGAGAAACATCTTTCGAAGGTGTGGAACACTGACAACAGATTTTTAATGATTATTTCTGATTTATAATCAGTCACTTTGTGTTTTTCATGCAGGCTGAACATGAAAATAGTCTCCTACACCTATCTCCTGTATTAGCTTCTGATAGAAAATTGACATGTTCTGTCTCCTTTTGTTCCCCAGCCCCCTCCTGTTCCCCTGCCAAGCTCTTTTATTCCCATTTAGTTAATTGGTTCCACCAGGTTCTCCTCAGCTCTCTCTAGCCTTCCCTCTGGTGTCCTCCTAATCACTCCCTGTTAGTCCCCACTTGATTTTATATTAGTTCTCCTCATCCCTCTAGTTATTAGTTGTTTATATTTGCCCTCAGTCTTTTAGTTTAGTTATCCGTGTTTTATAGGTTTATCTGCCCTCCTGCTTGTTTCTTTCCACCATTTAGATTATTGTACGCACCTGCCTTCTCTCCAGCTCTCACTACTCACACCTGCCGCCTGTTCCCCTGATCACCTCCCTCTGTGTTTAAAAACCCTGTCTTGTCCTTCAGTGTTTGTCGGTCCATTGTCTTATGTCAGCGTTGTTTTGTCCCTCACTACTGTTCTCTAGGTCTCTGCTCAGTAAGTGAGTTTTTGGTTTGTCTGAGGCCCTGTCCACACGTAGCCGGGGATCTGCCAAAACGTAGATATTTTTCTACGTTTTGGCCTGTCATCCACATGAAAACGGAGTTTTTTCACACGAAAACGGATCTTTTTAAAAACTCCGGCCAAAGTGAAGATCTGCGTTTTCTCCGTTTTGGGTGTCTGCGTGTGGACAGACAAAACCGGAGTTTTAAGGTCCGCAACGTCACTTTCCGTGACAAAAAATGCTGACATCACGTGTGCGACCTGTGTTTACACTAGCCGACAGCATGGATGCCGTCAGAGCTGCGCTCGCTTTATCAATTGTCCAAGCGCTTTTTGCCTGTTTGTTTTTGCAAGCGGAATTACTGCTCCTTGCGGAAGACCACAGACGAAGGACGAGGTTAAGAACGGGGGAAGTACTGCCGCCTACAGGTCTGGCAGGTCCTTAACAACGTATTTATCCGGGTACGTGTGGACAGAGTTTCTTTTTAAAACGACGTGGTGTGGATGCAAGTTTTTGGAGGGGCGGATATTCGTTTTTAAAAACACCCGGCTACGTGTGGACTAGGCCTGAGTTTAGTTATTAGGTTTTGGCCTCCTTCCCTTTGGATTATTTTGGTTATCTTCCTAAATAAAGGATTTTACTTTTTCAACCGCTCCTGCCTGAGTAGTCTGGATTTCTGCATTTTGGGTCCAAACCTCCTGCTCTCAACGTGACAGAAAATAGTACGGCTGAGTATGACTTACAAGGCATTCATTCCTGTTAGAGGCTACTGCAAATGTGTTGATTGAACAAGTGAGCTACTCCTTTAAAGGTGCAGTATGTAAGAATATAGTGAGAAAATCCTGAGTCAAACATTTCAGTCAGTGTGGGAGGAACAAATGAAACTTCATATCCAGCTGGCTGCGGCAATTGTCAGTTTTTCTCCTTTCGAAACAAAGGAAGGAGGGACGTAACAACTGTTGATCATCAGTGAGTGTGGGGTGCCGTGTCTCCTGCGAGCTAATGCTGCAGCGCCAACTTTTGTAATTTGACGACGGCCGGCAAAAAGCTCCAGAGTTGTTTAAAGTGGTTGCAGTAACCACATTTTAACTTCATTTCTACATAATGCACCTTTAATGAAGCTCTCAATGAAAGCTGAGAAAGCTTATTTGAAAAGGAAAATGTCTTTTTAAAAAGTCTGGTTGCCGTCATCAGCATAATTAAAACATGTTTTATTTCATTAAATGTTGTTTGTGTCCACAAAACTTAAAAATAAATTAATTTGATCACTTTTAATTTGACTTTTAGGTGGAAGAAATTTAGTGAAAAGCCTATTCCAAATCCAGGCCTCAGTTCTGTGGCAAAGTGGCTGTCTCAAAGTCATCACAAGGTGAATTTGTTTGTTTAAATCATTATTTCATTATGTAATTATTGCCTGTTGCTTTCTCATCGCGATCATCATAAAACAACATAATGTTACATGTTTATTTAAAGTTATACTAGATGAAGGAGGTAATGAGCAGCCGGTACGCGTGAGCACCAAAACCTGAGATTTCCTATAGAACCTCATTAAGACGTTAAGCCTGTAAATGATAGATTCCGGCGTTTGTACCAGTAAATCAATGTTTCCCCCATGGCAGTAAACATGAGAAATGTACGTCTGCGGACTCATTGAGAAATTTTTCATCTATAAAAGAAATCTGCACTGATCAAACTCGTCCCTGAATTTACAACTTTTGATCCCGCCTCCGTCGAACTGACAGGTGACGTCTCAATCCCAGATCCTATTGCTCAATCTATAGCCTATTTGAGCTGCAGAGCTGTACGTATAACTACTTTCAGAACTTGCATCAAAGCCTTTAGCCCTCCTGCAAAAATAAAAAGACTTTTATGGGTTTTTTGTCTTTGAAAAACCTCCCACATTTGATTTATAGATACTCCTTTTTTCTACAAAATAAACTTAAATTTGGCTTATTTTGATTTATAACAAGATACATATTATTATTATTTGTGAAATCACTATAAAAAATACCAGTTTGGACAAGTCCAGACAATTTGCAAATGAGTATTTATTACAAAGAACAGGGCCACAAAACTTTGACTTGCAGATCGACATTTAGATAACCCTCAATATTTGCCCACAAACCTCAAAGAAGTGATGCAACAGTATAAAATGCTAAATATAACTCTTTAATGCTAATGTAAGACTTATAAGGTCTCTACTGTTTTTGTTTATTTTTAGTTTTGTTTTTGACAAAGGTGTTTCGAAAGCCGTTGAACTGTGGATTTCTAAGTTTACGTTTTGTTCATTAAACAAGATATTTGACTTTATAATTGTGTAATTTTGTATTTATAATTTGGCTAAAGAAGTCTTTAAAGGAATATTAAACTTTGGGTTTAAAGTAACACAGAGCAGTTTCCCGCTCCTCTGCCTACTGGTTGAAAGTTTTTGTCATAAACAACCCTGCTGTAGCTAGCGCTAACACTAACGCGAGTCAGCTAAAACTAAAATAAACCACAAAGTGAAAAGATCCATGCTGTTGGGCAAAAATATTATTAATTAAAGAAAAGCCAGGTAACAGTCAGTCCGTGGTTATTTTATCCTCCTTGGCTCCATCAAACTAGAGTAAGCCGCGCCGATGTTTGCTCTGGTTTTAGCTCTTTGCCTCCAAAAACACTACTCTCTTACTTGGCTCTGCCATGATGCCAACAGAAAAAGCTAAACTTCTTTTTCTTCTTCTTGTGCTTTTTATTGACAATTAGTGAACTGAAAATGCTAACCACTAGCATTACAGCTAACAGCCGTAAAACAGGTTTAGAGCGCCCCCTAGGACAACTACCCGCTCCATAAAACTATCTAGTGCAGTATGTGGACAGCAGAGGGCAGCAGAGTGGTGTCATGAATGAAACTGGTCAAGTTTCTAGCACAACCATCACTAAGATCAACGTTAAAGCTCTAGCTTAAAGTTTATCTGTAGTTACTTTAACTATGCTGAGACTAGCCGTTAGCACATCAGTCCCTATAGATACAAACTTTCTTGTTTAGGACACTATCTACAATGGATTTGATGTTAAATAATTATAAATTTTATACAAAAACAAGTTTCAAAATGACCAAATGATTTCTTTAAGGTTGCATGCAAAAGCATGTGGATGGACATGGTATTCTGTAGGATTTGATGCACATTGCTTCTTGAAATCTTTGTTTTGGTTTATTTCCTCTCCTGTTGCAGAAATCGTGGTTCTTCCATCCATTCAGTAATCAATCCGAAAACATCTTTGACCCAGTCCGGACAGAGGAAACCCAGAGAGACCCCTCACTGGCTCAAATCTGTGACAAAGTCAGCGACACAGTAGCGGAGTGCAGCGATCCTTGCACTTCGTTCCCCTTGGACGCTCGGGATGACTGGTCATCTGCACAAACAGACTCACAGCTCCTGTCTTCTCCTGAAGGATCTGTTTCAATCCTCTCCTCAGGGAGCTCGATGAACCCGTACAGAAGTCAGAGTTCAGCAGAAACTTTTCTATCTAGAACTGAAGATCTGTATCATTGTGATTCAGGCAAACAGCACGATAAGCTGACACCAAAGAGTGTGTATGTCAGTCTGAACATGTTTGAAGAGGGCAACGTTAGATTAGAGTTGTAAAATCAAAACACAGAAACAAACTCCGGGCAAGATGAGTCATCCGGCTCCAAAACATCAGACGTTTCTATGGCAGCAGGCAGACTGTCTGACTTTTATAATGAAGATTCAAACATCTAAAAGTCTTTAATTATACTTTCTTTACTGATGTTTAGTCTTTTACAAGGTGCTGGAATTTAACCATGTGTGTTAATATATCATGTTCTTATTTTTTCATTCTTTATACGGATATAAATTATTAAATTAGTTTTTTTTACCATAATGTAGCACATCTTGCATGCAAATGCTTCAAAAGTGGTTGGAAATAGACTCAAAGAAACATTAAATAACATATTATTGACTGAAATTTTCACAAGGACTTTAATAATACCATAAACATTTCCGTTAAGTTTTACTGTAATTGGTGTTCAAATGCATGTCGTGCATGTAATATAATGTATTTATGGAGATATCTTTGTTGTGATTTGAATTGGTCTGATGACTATTAAAGTGCATTACAAAAACGTTTTATCTCTATAGCAGCCAGTTTGTGGGTTGAGTATGTTGGAGGGTGTTACCTCCACGCGTGCTTATCAGTGAAAATGTAACGCTGATGACTCAGTGGCATTCACATATGTTGTTATTCATTTAATGTCATTTTTTATTACATAATAATAAATGTCTATCTATCTATATCTATCTATCTATCTATCTATCTATCTATCTATCATCTATCTATCATCTATCTATCTATCTATCTATCTATCTATCTATCTATCTATCTATCTATCTATCTATCTATCTATCTTTTAGTTTTCAAATGTTTTTATCTTTTTTATGGCTTTCTATTTTATTTATCTTATCTGTCTATCCTTACATTTTTTATTTTACACACACACACACATATATATATATATATATATATATATATATATATATATATATATAATTTTTGTTGTTTTTATTTCTTTATAGCTTTTATCAGTCATTACATCATCAGCCATCTGCTTTTCTGTTCAAAAGTCCTAACAAATCCATCCATATCGAGGCCTGTTGTTATGGCCTTCTCGTGAGCCAGAATGTCTACATTTCTTTTTCTCTCATCTAGCTTGGTACGGCGAAACGGGGTAAGAACACGAGACAAAGTGGAGAAAGCGCTCTCACATGATGCTGCTGATATTCCAATCACAAGGGAGGTCACATACATGCGATGGAGCTGAGGAAATGCATTCTTATACCCGTGTAGATGTCTGCAAACGGTGGAGAGGTCTACAAACTATACTGTTATCATCATCAGTCTTTTTGAATTCTTTCTCCAACATTATTTTTGCAACAAAAATCTCATTGGAAAGTTTGTCACTGGCACTTCCTGTCATTTTCTGCAGAGGACTTAACATGTCAGGATCCAGAAGAGAGGGAGACTGAGGTTGAAGGCAGTTAACTGCTTTCCTGAGATGGAGATTGCTTTTGGAGAATCTTGTCTCTACAATGTCTATGTCCAAAATGTTGAAGAGCTCTCTTCAGAGCCTGGCTAGGAGTTGTGGAGTCTTCTGCGTGGCCCACAGTGGACATTACAACACTACCTGTTAGCAGTGAGCTTGTTTTTCTTTGTCTTTTAGCAGCTGGTGCAGGTGTGCTGGTTAATATCACACTTTCCTCATCTCTCATCTGCTTCAAAGCCTGCAGAGATGCACTAGTAAGCTTTATTTATATAGCACCTTTCAAAACATAATTTATTGATTCTTATTTTTTCTATCTAAATTAAATAATGACGTAATTTCGGGGTCTCAGGGGTCATGTCTTTTGTCGGCCAGCAGGTGGCAGTGTGATTAAGCAAACGCTCTAAAGTAGGGGTTTTAACACGAAGAAGAATTGTGAAGCTAGCTAGCTTAATTCACAGACCTGTATCCAGCCTCTTGCTAATGAGGATTAAACAAACCTGAAATTTACAGCTTTTTAAATTTTATTTTGGTGGCTAGTGGTAATAATAAAATTATAAATTTTATAGAAACCCCTCCCCGCCCGTCAGAATGCTGGTCGGGCTTGAATTTGTGGGATTATCCTCCTGAATTATCTGACAAGGGCCTCGAATCCTCGGCGTTTGGGTGAACGGTTACCCGTGACCTGAGACGCACTTAGCCGGGGACCAGCTGGACACAAATTTAGTCTTTAATACCAGCCTTTTGCTATCATGTCGCACAATGGACCCCCTCCACGGTGGCGCAACTGTCCCAGGAGAGGTCAGCCTGTGGCAGGTGAGTGAAAGATCACTTTTTCGCTGATTATTTAATGTTGTTGCTGTGTGGAGGGAAATGACTCGTATGTGTTTCACAACGTCTTGGCTGTGTTTCTCATTATTTCCGAAATTAGAACTTTATTTATTATTAATTAATAAATTAACTGCTGTGTAATTTCTTAAGTCTGGTAGAAATTGCACCACCGTAGATGTTCCTAAAAATGTAAATACAAGTGATCAGGTTAGTAGAAAGTAACCATATTTTAAAAAGAGCATTATTTTTTGCTTATTTTTTACCCGACAGTAGTAAATTATACAAACAGCTTTATTAACCTCAGATTTTTAACCCTTGCCTTTTTATTTTATTGATTTATTAATAGGATGATCAAAATTTGCCATATGTTTAAATGGAGTCTGGTGCGACAAAGAGCTCAGCGACACCAGCGACTTAACGGGATGATCATCAAGAGCATTTTTGATGCCTTCGATGCTGAATTTCACACGGCAGCTGATGTCGATCGCCATATTAAGTAGACTTATTTTTAGCACCACGTGTCAAAACAAACTGGGGCTCCACATGGTGCGCGCTTGATTCTGCGTTGTGTCTGCAGCCATTGTCTGACTCCTTTAAAATTATGCTGGATTTCTAAATAATGCATCGGTACAGATATAGTTGCACAACTTTTATTGCAACAGTTTCCTGTAGTCTTCTAGTTGTGGAAATAATGCATGGCATGAAGTCAAGATTAAATATTTTATTATCTGTGAGGGGGAAAAAATCTAATTTAAAAAGATTGACACTTGAGCAATAACTTTCTTAAACTAATCTTAAACAGTTTATTGCTGTTTGGGAACTGTTATCATCAAAATAAAACTATTTTGAAATGAATCAATCAAAAGGATGTTTGTTTAGACATTTAATGACAGTTAGTTTTTTCCCTGTAAAGGCAGTTCTTAAGTTCCTTGTTGGTCCCTACTAGTCTTGCTTTAATAAAGATTTAGACAGCTAAAACATGTGAAGGAGGTTAAAACACCCGGCTGAGCACGAACGAACACTTTTGATGATTAGTGGAACACACATGTGGGAACAGATTATTTCTATGACAGCAACAAAACAATCCACTTCCATTTAAACCGAGTCACGCAGAAGACTATTTGCACTCTTGGTTTTTCTGCAGCCAGAAGCATTAATTTAAGTATTTTCCATAAGTAAGAGTAAGTTTATTTTTACACAAATTCCTGTTTTAAACAGCTGTGTAACAGGAAACACAAATAATTATTTTATTAGGAACTGAAACACAGTGTGTTTGTCCAGTGATTCGTATCAAATCTGAAAGATTACATTTATTATCAACTTAAAGTTAAAGTCCCACATCAGTTGTCACACACACTGATGTGTGTGCGAAATTTGTTCTCCGCATTTGACCCATCCCCTGGGGGAGCGGTGAGCTGCAGACACAGCCGCGCTCGGGAACCATTTGGTGGTTTAACCCCCCAATCCAAACCCCTTAATGCTGAGTGTCAAGCAGGGAGACATTGGGTCCCATTTTTTTCAAAGTCTTTGGTATGACCCGACCAGGAATCAAACCCTGATCTCCCAGTCTCAAGGCGGACACTCTACCACTAGGCCACTGAGCTGGTATAAAATACTGATGATGGTTACGTAAGCTTGAAGGTTTAAGTAGAAGTCTTTGACCCTGATTTGATTTGAACACACAACCTTCTGATCTGGAGTCAGACACACTACCATTGCACCACAGAGTCAGCTAACTTGCTTAATTTACTAATAAGAAATCATAAAACCACACAAAAAAAAAGCTGATTGTATTTTTTTATTTTTTCAGGTAAATTCCTTCCTATGAAAACAATGTTGGGTCCCAGATACGACGAGCAAGTGGCAGAGGAGAACAGGTTTCATCCGAGCATGCTGTCCAACTATTTAAAAAGTCTCAATGTAAGTAACTCAGCGGGTGCTCGACTTACTATGTTTTATTTCACTCTGTTTATTTCTTTATTTTTTAGGTGAAAATGGGTTTGCTTGTGGATTTGACCAACACCACCCGCTTTTATGACCGCAATGACATCGAAAAAGAAGGGATCGCTTATGTGAAGCTTCAGTGTAAAGGGTACGAGCTGGTTTTTTAGCTCACTAAGTGAACATTTATTCTCCAGCTTCACTGTTGTTCTGCATTGATCCGTGTCTTTCTGCATGTTTAAAGCCATGGGGAGTGTCCTTCAACAGAGACAACTGCTAATTTCATGAGGCTCTGTGAGCAATTCATAGAGAAGAATCCCACAGATATCATAGGTGAGTACTGGCTCATAGCCGATGCTATTACTCTTTGTGGCCAACAGAGGGCAGCATTGCCCCAAATATTCAAAATGGCTAATTTAAGTGCATTTTTAACATTTTTTACAAAATTCTTCCCATCTTTTAAAACATCTTTTGCACACAGTCAAGAAAAGGATTAAACAGCATCCCAGAATGAGGAGGTGGAGTTTTAAAGTTTGCAGTCCGTCAGTCTTGAGATTTTAAAAGTGTGGGAGTTTCACATTAGAAACACTGATGAGTCTGTGTAGGTGATTTAAGGGAGAAGAAGCATCATTATGTGCCTAAATAATTAGCTTAGCTAAATAAATCAGTGTGTGGGCTGTTTGTTTACTGTTATGGGAGGTGTGCGTGTGTGTTTTACATGCCTACTTGGATCAGCCTTTCATTTTTAATGATTAATAATTTATAAATTTCGTTAGAAACTTGTTTTAATTAAGGAACACAAGCTATAAAGACAATAATAGCTTTATTTTCAGTAGATGGTATTTAAGAACAAGTTAGATGTTTTTATATTAAAGCCATCAGGGCTGTTCTTGTCCAGTAAGTTCAAACCAGTGTTGCAGTTTCACCTCAGTGGCAGCAGGGGGCTCTCTTACACCCAGCCTGTTTTATGTATCAAATAAGTCTGAGCTTTTGGAGCAGAGCATCTGAATGTGAGCTCAACAGCGCCCTGGCGCTAGCTAGCAGGTTTGTTATCTTTGCAGGACACGCATCCAAACACGATTCCCCAGGTTTGGTTAATTTAGTCAGCATCCATGTTGCCAGTCCTAACCCAGACACGTGTGTGAGCCGAGTGTATTCATTCAATTCTCCTTTGCACTTGCTGGAGATCACATGTTTGGGAAGATGTTTATTAGATCAGAATGAACCCTGAGCTCTTCAGTCCTCATGAAAGCTTTTATTTGAGAATCTCTTGCTGCGTTGCACCTTTAAAGAGATCAGCACCCACCCCCCAGTCGTTCCTTGTGCCCTTATTGTTACCTCTCTGAACGTTTCATCAATCTCTGGGTCCCCCTGTGCACATAACAGCTGGTTTCAGACAGATTTTTGATGTCGGTATAAAGACAAGCCCCCCCATGAGGGGATTCATGGCCTCGTCTCAAAGATGCTATTGATGTGGAGCTCATATTGAATAAAACTGGCTCTACCCGACTACACAACTGTTAAGATATTGATAACTCGCTGATATGATGCTGTATTGCTTTGAGAACAAAAAGGCACATCCTTTCTGAATGAGGTTGTTTAATTTACTATCAGCAGTAGAATGTTTTAAACAACGTGACGTATTCTTCTGTCACCTCAAGGTGTTCACTGCACGCATGGCTTCAATCGAACAGGCTTCCTGATCTGTGCCTACCTGGTGGAGAAGATGGACTGGAGGTGAGGGCTGACACGCTGTGATCACGCTGACATGTGATGATACTTACCGAATCCTCACAGTCGTCTCGCTTGATAACTCAGACCGTACAACACATTGTGTCTCCTGTGGATTGCATCATAGCTCAGGTTTTATTCTTTCAGCTCTGTCAGTCGACCCATTCTTGCGCTTATTTTTAGTATCCTCTGGTTACAGTATGTGTCCTACTGCAGGAGTTTCATCTGTCAGTACCAATCAACACAAAGCTCTGCAGTGGCTCGGGGGGGGGGGGGGGGGGGGGGGGGCAGTAAAAGTGACCAGGTTCATCACAGATGAAAAAAAAAATTCCAGCAGCTGAGCAGAAAAGGCGGGAAGAGGTTGGGGAGAGAAAACCGAGTCTCTGGAGACACGGAGGCAGAATCAGACCCTCCCACCTCCCACTGTTTCCTGTGAAATGATTATTCTCAGCTGTCATCCACTATTAATGTGGCGCGAGATAATTCAGCTATTAAACAGTCAACAGCCGTCCTGTTTTTATTATTCATTTGTTATTTTTGGGCTGTTGCTGGAATTACAATCACTTAAAGTCTTCATTAAGTAAGGTTCGATCAAGGCTGCTAATAATGGCATCTTTATTTGAAAACAAACTCTCCCACAGAGTCTTGATACATGTGTTTACATTTTGTAAATGGATAGGGAGCCCAGACTTCCCTTTCCCCAGCCGCTTTGGCCAGCTCCTCCAGGGGGAATCCCAAGGCGTTCCCTGGCCAGACGAGACACGAGGCATCCTGACCAGATGCCCGAGCCACCTCAGCAATACAGCCACCCTGCATAGAAAACTCATTTCGGCCGCTTGTATCCGTGATATCATTCTGTTGGTCGTTACCCAAAGCTCGTGACCATAGAAGAGGGTAGGAGCGTAGATCGACCGGTAAATTGAGAGCTTCTCCTTCTGGCCCAGCTCGCTCTTCACAACGAGAGATCGGTACAACGTTTGCCCTATAAAGCCTTACAAGGCAATGACTGGTTCACCGTGCCCACTAGGCCAGGGCACCATTATTAAATGAGACGCGTGCTGATTAGCTGATTTACGCCTATGATGCCTGAATCTAGAAACTCTGTGCTGTGTAATGTATCCAGACTATTCAACAGGCAAGCTATGGAGCTGTCTGGCATTCATTCAAAGTCTAGACATTCCCAATTCATCCTGGAACTTGTGTGCTTCAACCTTCTTAGTGAAAGAATGAATGATCAATTTATTCAGTCAGTCATCTTAAGATAATGTGTACAATAACTTGTCATACAAATAGATACAAATACCATTTCTCACTAACATATGCATTCATTTGTATGTGGTGTCTATTTGGTATCTCATGACTGAATAGGTTTAGGCTTATATAATTGCCTAACCTACTTGCAAAACAATTTTTCAATTTCCCGCAATGAACCAACAACCCAAATAAAACTAAAACGCAAATCCATCCATCAACATCAAATTAATATGCTTCAAAAATATTTTTACTAATAAGTTTTTTAAGAACTGAAAGAGAAGTTGCTCATTTTAATTCTATTTTAGCCTCATTCCAAAATTTTACTCCCATTACAGAGATACATCTCCTTTTCATGCCATTTTTGGCTTTTTGTAGAACAAACATACATACACCTCTTAAATCATATTTACTTTCCCTCTTTACAAAAAAACGTTAGTATATTTTCTGGCAGAGCCGTAGTAGTAGTTAGTAGTTTTCCTCTTTTCCAACGAGGACGTTAGCAGTAGCTGGGGCTAGCGTACGGCTGCGAGCATTACTGTCACCAACATTTCTATATTGCAGACACTGAAGTGGGTTTGGGGCGTGCAGATTTAAGGGTGTGTATCTATGCTGACGACATGCTAATCCAGCTTTTCTCCGAACAAACAGTTTCTCAGCAGCCATTACACCATTGTCAGTTTGCGTAGTAAAGCTGGTCAGAGACTTTCTGGTGTGCTACTTTAGACACCTCAAGCTGCCTATGTTCAACAACAACAAGGTAAATGTAGTTTTGAGTTCTAGGACCCCTTTAAAGTCTTCACCATTCTGTAGAAATGATTCGTTTTCTGCATCTGGTCCCTGAAGTTTAAGCATGTCATCTGCATGTAGAAGCATTTTCACAGAGAGCATGTGGTTTAAAGAGCTGTGTTCAGATGAAGCACTCCGTCCTCAGGCTGCAAAAACAAAATGATATCCGTTAGAGAAATAGCAGGGGCAAACCTGATGCACCAGATGTTTGGCTGCACAGAAGGTCGTGTTTGGAAGCCGCTGGCTAAAGGAAGAGAGAAGACGTTGACTGCTGACACGATGAGTCTGCTGTCGTCTGTCAGTCCAGCATGAACCAGTCAGATGAACCGACCAGATGGTGACTTCAGTTTGTGGTGAAGCCGTTCAGTCGGAGAGAACACATCTTTATTTATTTATTTTTTAGGAAAGCCTTCTGCTTTGTCATTTTTGCTTTTTGCCGTAAAATGATCTTCTGTAAGTATTATTGCCCTATGTTGCAGTAATTCCCTAACGGCTTCCAGGATTAGCTAGTCCACAACAGCCGTGGCTCAGGCACATGGCAAACATGCTTTTATTTTCCGTAAGGAAAGCACATTTCATTTTCAAAAGGATATTATAGTTGAAATGTCGTCGATGCGGTGGAGATCGGTGCAACAGATGGGACACCGTCAGACCTAAACAGGTGATGAGGAGCATAGCTAATGCAGGATTATTTTACAGCACACTAGCAGACCGTTTCAAACAAAAGGTAAAGAATCTCGTCTGGTTTGATCCATTAAAATATTCACAAACGTACACTTTAATATGATTTTATGATTCAGCTGCATGTTAAAGCCCTTCTTGGCGGATGACTGAGATTGGAAATCTTATTTTACTCTCAAACAACTTCAAAATGATGAGCAGTCGTAAGAAAATACCTGACTCCCGATTAGTCAAATAAAAGAGTTAATTGTGAGGTGTTGACCGACAATGATCCAGAGCCTTCAGCAAAATATAAAAGCATAAAGGAAATGAAGAAATTTCTATATTTAATTTGGATTAGTTAATTTTTATTATTATTAGGCATGTCCCAGCTAAAACCACCAAACATATGATGTCAGTGTTTCTTTTGTCTACAGTAAATGTTCCTCTCTGTTCTGCCTTTCCTTATCAGCGTGGAGGCAGCTGTAGCTGCTTTCGCCCAGGCACGGGCCCCTGGGATCTATAAGGGGGACTACCTCAAAGAGCTTTTCTGTCGCTATGGTGATGTGGAGGACACACCCCCTGCACCTGAACTGCCCGAGTGGTGCTTTGACGACGGCGACGAGGACGAAGGGGACGATGACGGTAACACGGTCGGTCAGGAGTCTGGCCCCAGCTCCTCGGGGTCGGCCCCTGGGAAAAGAAAGAAAGAGAAGCTAAAGCTGGTAGGAAGCAAAAACACAAATAAAAACTCTGTTACTGCATCCATCCATTGTCTGAACCTGCTTTGTCTACGTAGGGTCGCGCGGGGGGGGGGGGGGGGGGTACACCCTGGATAGAGAGCCAGTCCACCGCAGCTCCTTTACTGCAGCTGTAATTTTCATTAAGTTAAAATCAGTCTAATTCATTACTCATGTTTAGTTTCAGTCCAGCCTGGAACATTTAAAGTCCAGCCAGTGAGATAACGAGCTGTTATCGACGGATGGAACGGAAGAAAGTAAATAACTTTCGCCGCTGTGACACATTTGTTTAAAACACATGGACAGAACTTGCATTTGTCACTTTTATTGCACACAGAGCTTATTGAAGAGCTGAATCAAGGCAAATCTAATAGCCGAGAATGCGATGCACCAGACGGATCAGAAGGAGAGCGCCGTCGTCGCTGCAGCAGCTCTTCAGTCTGCAGCTTTCATTAAGAACTACTGTCTGTTGGCTGAGAAGCTCGTCTCGACTAGTCTGAGGCGGTTTGGCTGTGCTGTGGAGTTATAGCCACTGGGATGCTGCTTTAATGGCGTGTGCGATTGTTTTTGTGGTCATCTAAAGCTCCCTCTGCAGCAGCTCTGTGGGACCGTGGAGGTCAGGTCTTCGGAGCATGGTCACAGTTTGTTTGAAAGCTTTTCTCGCTCAGAGATTTTTAATCTGAGATTAGATCCCGGTCTCAGTCTGTTGCACTCTGTTCTAACAAAGCATTTAAGAGGAAGCCAGAATATACTGCTGATGGTAAATTACATAAGGAAGTCACGTAAGGCTAAGCAATTCATAATTATTATAATATTATGAACAGTTCACAGTAGGATGATGCAGCAAGGTTTTAATTCTGTTAAACAAACTGGAGATTTTTAATTATCCAAAATAATTATCGATTATTTATTATCAAAACAAGACCATTTTAAGTTACTGTTGGGATTTTCTCTTTAAATTAACCTAGTTTATTGAAAAAAGGACCAAATCTTTACTCATGGATATTTGAACGATTCCGATTCCAGTTCCTTGTTTCGATTCCGGTTACTATCCGTTCACGATTACGGTTCTTTCAAGAGGCAGGATCCAAAAACATTTCATGTATTAAATGAGCGAGCTAACCACACGTCTTATTGATGAAATAATCTGAACTTCAACATGAATTTTAACTCTATGAACAATAACATCACCTTCGTTTAGACAAAAGCCAGCAAGAAAGAAGGAAATGGTCAATTTGTATTTGTATACCGCCTTCTTGGGGCTCAACAACCCCCCAAGGTGCTTCACAACACAATCAGTCATTCATCCATTCACACGCTGGTGGTGGTGATTAGCTACAGTGTAGCCACAGCTGCGCTGGGGCGCACTGACCAAGGCGAGACCTTCGAACACTGGCGCCACTGGCCCCTCTGACCACCACCAGCAGGCGAGGAGGGTTAAGTGTCTAGCCCAAGGACACAACAGCAGCATTATTTGGTCGGAGCCAGGATTGAACCAGCAACTTTCCGATTGCTGGACAACCCGCTCCCCCTCCGGAGCTTCTGCTGATCAGTGTTTTTGTTTCTGACCACAACCAAAGTATGGGAACTGAAGAAACCTCTAGGATGAGAGGCAAAATGCTGATAAAAGGTAAATAGTATTAAAGTAGAATTATTTTGAGTTAATTTGATATATTTTCAGTCAGTTTTACTCGGCTCCACAAAAACAATCAGTTTTATTTTTGTTAAAAAGTCGTTGTGTCTGGCAAACCTCCAGAGTCCGGTTACTGGTCAGACGCCCGAACCATCTCTGATTACTCCATTTGATCAGGAGGAGCAGCGGCTCTAACATTCCTCAGCTTCTCACTGAAGGCCAAACATGGCCGCCCTATTGAGGAAGCTGATTCCAGCTGCTTACGGTATCTCCTGCATTAGCTTCTGACAGAAAATAGCTGGTAAAACCTTAGGATTTAAAAACACTGACAGATCCAATCTTGGCTTGCGACGGCGAAGGCTGTTGTTTTAGCATCCAGGAATCAACATAGGCTGTGTCTCAATTCAGGGTCTGCATCCTTCGAAGGACCCAGCCCACTCGGCCGACGTGGGCTGGGTCCTCCGTCGGCCGGGTAGACCGAATGTTAACGGCTGTGAATTTGGACAGGCCTAGCCTTCATGAACTCCCTCCGCGAACGTTCCGTCGCCTAGCAACCGTGGAACCGCTGGGCAGAAGGGAGAAGGAACTTTAAACGATGGAGCTCGACGTTTTATTTAGCTTTTTAACCCCCAGAAACCCAAATTTAGAAAACAACTGCAAAATCTTTTTTTAACCTTTCACATGTTGTTCTAGGAGGCCAGATAAACGGGCCTATTTACACATTTTAACAGCCAATAGTGTTGCAGAACTGAACAATAGGACCTATTAGCAATGTAAATGTAGTTTTAAAAAAGAAAAAAAATGGGGAAAGTTTATTCTTGTAGACTTAAATCTGATGTTGTAATATTACAACCGTGGGTCTCTGGGGGTTAATAATTTCCTTGACTGTTGGAGAGCTAATTCAGAGAAAATACTTTAGACAAGCTGAGCCTGAGCAAAGATGTGATAATAGTTTTTAATACTTTCTAAGGGTCTTAATTTGACCAAAACCGATTTATCACCTTTTAAGACTTTAAGACCCAGCGGATACCCGGTAATATTGAACAATTCTCATTTGTAAACAAAAATAAAATTCAAGAGTTTAATGCAGAACTGATTTTATTTAGATATTTCTTTTATATGTACATGTTTAATCTTTATTAACCATTTTTTTCTAGCAAAGTAAAAAGTTGTCAAAGTTCTCCCTTCTCTCCTGTGCCCTCTGCTGCTCTGCCTCCATCTGCAGCCTCATGTCCTCCCTGATCAGCTCTAGAAGCTGGTCATCGCTGGCACCTTCCCCTGGATGCCCATTTTCTCCAGAATAGTCTTAACAAACATGTAAGAAAAGAAACAGGAAGAGAAAAGAGGACAACGGGTTATTCCTTTCTTGTTTTCGCAGAAAAAATAAACTCAAACGAGTTTTTAAAATATGAGATGTTATTGTACCTCCATGCCACAGCCGCCGAATACTTTGCTCCGGTGATCATGTGGTCCATCTCCGCCCTAAGCTTAATAAATTCCCTGGTTTTCTCTTTTGTTCCTAAAATACAAGCTTCTATTAAAATCAGGGGGAAAACGTAGCGGGAGAAGTACGACACCGAGCGCGGCCGAACATATGAGCCGAGACCGCAATACAAGCACTTTTACTGTAACATTTCTAACTAAAATAACGTTCATGTATCACAAAAAGTCCTTAACCTAACAGTTTTCAAGTTTATACTTACATTTATATGCGCAATCCTCTCCGACAGCTCCCGCTTCACTGTCCGCCATTGTTTTTAAGTTTTTCTGCCGGCCGGCCCGCAAGGCATCTTGGGAAATGCTACCTGTTGAAGGATACACCGGACCCATCCTTCATTCAGGCGAAAAGAAGGCCGCATTCGTCGACCGCATTTGAAGGAGTCTTCGAATTGGGACAGGCCTAGTCGCGGCGCTGTGACGTAACCGGCCGACGAATCCGGCCGATTTAGGATGCAGACCCTGAATTGAGACACAGCCTTAGAATATCAGTCTCGGCTAGTAGAAGCTAACCATTATCATCAGTAACTCCACCACACTGCAGAACTCCTCCAGGCAGAGAAAGCATCTAGGAAATAAGACTCCAAATCCTGCCGTCTGAAGCTGATGCAGCTCACATCTCGTTCCTGAAACTGGTGCACCGGAGTCCCCCCCCCCCCCAAGAGTACAACTACAAGGCGTTCATTCCTACTAGAGACCACTGCAAATGTACTGAATAAATGAGCGCACCACAACTTTAAGCTCTGTATATTGACATGTGGCCTGTATCGTTCCAGGCACATCACTCTATGTAACTGGTCAAAATAATTGAGCCAAAGCTTTATTTAGCCAAAGGAGACTAGACGTTCACACCATATCATCCACTCCGAGTCTCACATTAGATTTTAATACTGTGTTAGGTTGTAATGCATGTAGCAGCTCTAAAATCCTGCAAACAGCCTGTATGCAAATTAGGCGGACCTCATTAAAAAGTATACTTGTCTAAGTGGGCCCTGTCTGAGATTAATGAGGTTAAACGGTAGCCTTGCTAATTAATGTGCATCATATTTTGGTTGTTTTCAGACCAGGGTGATCAGAAGTGCTGTTAGCGTTCTAACTCGACTACTTGTACTCAAAACGTGCACTAATGAGTGACATGTTAACCTCCCTCTTCTTTGTCTGTTCGAACCAAAATTGACAGTCCCGTAGGGAGCAGTTGACGTCTCATCTGTTCAGCACAGAAGTGACAAGGTCATGTCACGAAAGGAATAAGTGAGATGAGAACGTGTCACTGAATTCAGAGCTCAGGGCTAAAGAGACGTTTGCTGTTGAGTTAATGCAGAGTAACGGGCTTCATAAGGCAGATCCTTTAAATAATTAATGTGTGAATTTCTTTAAAGTAGGCTGTTTAAAAGAAAGACATAACTTTTCATGTTTTAACCTGTTGTCTCGGCACACGGGGATTCATGAAGCAAAGAAACAACTGTTTGGATCGCTGTGTGTAGGAGGATCGTAACACTTCTTTGAACCTGATTGAAACCCAACCTTCTTTTTCTCTTTGTTTATGTTTGTTTCTTCCCAGGGTGCAGTGTTTCTCGAAGGCATCACAGTGAAAGGGGTCACACAGATCACCTCCGAACCCAAGTTAGGAAAGATCCAGAGAATGTGTCAGGAGATGGCCGAGTGGGACAAGTAAGGCGCTCCTTAATTGCCCTCCTCATCCCCCCTCTGGGAAACTGCGTGTATATGTGTATGTAGGTGTGCTTTGCTGTGGTGACTCATCTGTCTCAGCTCTATTTCCCCTCCCCCGCTTTTTAAAGATCTTCACACTTTCCGACAGGTGGTAAAGTCGGAAATAGAATTTAATGTTTTGGAAAAAATGCTGCTGCAGCTTTCTTTTTCCTGCTCTGAAATAGCAAAGAGTCAACCGTACTGCAGTGTAACCACCATTGTTCGTGCCACGCCTACTTCTGCGTACGCCTTTTGTTAGGTGATGCTCTTAAATCTGAATTCTCCAATGTAGAAAACGTGCTTTTCAGGGAAAAACTTGCTTTGTGGCTCTCGTTTTTACTGCACTGATCACTTGATGTCTTCCATACTTCTCTACAAATTAAAGTGTTTTATGAGCTCATTTATTTACTTTTCAGACATCTTATTTCCTCCTCTGGATCTCCCCTGTGCTTGGAACAATTCTAAAGTTTAAAGAGCGAGTCGCCCCCTACCAGAGTACTACTCCACTCCCACTTCCTGTTTGAAAAATGCAACAAATGCTGTTGCCTAGCAAACCGAGAGGGCAGAGCCGCTAACAAATACACACACACAGGCTCACAACGACATTGTGACATCATATGGTACCAGCTAACGTCCTAGGGTACCTCTCAGCCAATAGCGATGGCAGATTTAAATCAAGTGCAGAGTTTTTACCTGACAACGGCACACCACTGACCGTTTTAGGCAGAAAATTAAAATTTTAACTAAAATGCACTAAAGTGCAAAACTATTGACTACACGTGTCTGCAGCATGATTAGACACACATTTATATAGTTTATCAGAAAAAACATGTTGATTTGGGGATGACATGCTCTTTAAGTAAAAAAAATGGTAAAAGGCCTTTATTTATATAACACCATTGTCCTAGAACCACCCAAGGCGCTTTACAACACAGGTCATTTACCCAAGTGCCGTTCAATTCAGTTCAATTCAGAAATGCGTTATTGATCCCAGAGGGAAATAAAAAACAAGTAGATTCTTCCTAAATTCAAATTCTTTGTAATTGCAGGTTCTTCATTTTTAGGTTCTTATGAATAAATCTCACATCTTAAATTATAAGTAATTTTAATTAAACACATTTTATCAAAATATATTCTTATAACCAGGGGTGCAACGGATCATCATTGATCTGTGATCTGCTCGTATCTCTCTCTATGGTTCGGCACGCACACGAGCCGCAGAACGGTCACGTGGAGGGCCGAGGCGCCACCTGTTCAATTCAGACGAAAAAAGCACAGCGGGTGGTCATGGCTGGTGGAGGAGAGGTGCTCGAAAAACGACCTGCATCCCTGGCTTCCCTGTAAAACACAACAACGATACATGCGTCTGATGGCGCAGCGCCGCTCACACGTACCTGCGATCGCTGTGAAAGCGGGGAGGGAGGCGTCTCGTGCAAAAGGCCCGGGACAATGATTACATAAATGTGGTGGGACCTGTAAATGTTGGCGGGGACTAATCTGTAAAAGAGGAGGAAAGAAAAATAAACAGCTCATCAGAAAGGTGAGGAAATGAGTGAAAGCAGAACGTGCAGGGAGTGGCCTATATGGCAAGCCATTTTATCATTTAATCGGCAATCAGACCTGAGTTTTTTGATCCATTTCACCACTACTTTTAGCAAGAGCAATGGTTATGTTATAATCAAGGTTTGAATTACAGGGGTGGTAAGGGGAGCCCAGCTCCCCTGAAAGGGTGACGGGCCCCCCTAGAAGCCCTCAACTGGCCTGCACTTTCATGCTCAGGGGCTCTCCAATCATGGCGTAAGAATTTTTCATTGTTGTCACAGGTCTGGATTTCCCGGTGCGCAGCCCGTGTCCATGGACAGACAAAATCTTCGTTTTCTCGAGCAGAATCCTTATAAAGTCAGCTGGAAGGCCGATGGTACACGGTAGGTCGATGTCTTAACATTAGAACTAATGCACACTCGGTGAGTTTTGGTTCCTCAACAGGAGTTTTATTTCACATCTTAAGTGCACGTTGGAATTTAGTGTTAACTGACTCGTGGGAGTGTAAATAAGGTCAGGACCTTTCAGTCTGATGGATGGAATTCTAAAGATTCAGCTTTTTATTCTGCCTTCGGCAACATCAACAAAAGAAAACCCGTCTAGAACCAGACATGGAGTAGCCTGGCAAGCCATCCTATACGTGTGCCTTTGCAAAGCAAGAATTTGGTCTAGTTCACTAGGCTAGACACGGAGCGCAGCAACTATCTAAAACACTCTGCAGGTTGATTGAGTCACCAAATTCATAGATGCCTGTAGAAAATTACAAAGGTAGAGAAAAGGGAAGAAATCAATTCAATGACGGGTCGTCTGAGCAGCACTAATTTTACATTTTAGTAAAAGAGAAAGTTTTGCACCTTATTCTAACTATTCCAGCACCTAAAAATCAACTTGGGATCATTTTTCATCCAATATAAGCCTGATGGGTAAAATCGCTGCATATCATCCAGGGTTCAAAAATACAAAACCCCAAGTAAGCCTGCTCTCATGAGAGTTGAGTGTTCTTTTGAGGTAATATATGACTCTAGCGTGTCCGTAAGACATGACTGAGCTTGGTGATTAATACCTTTGTATGTGAGGAGAGGTCTGAACAGAGTTTTAACATGACTTGTGCTTCCTGATTAGGTTTTAATTACTGTGTAGAGCTAATCAAGCAGGGTGCACATTGTATAGCAATGGAGATGTGCGCTGTGGAATAGCTAATTAGCTCCACTGATGCATGAACACTGGCTGTGGCTACTCTCTCGTCCATAAGGGATAACAAATGCGAGGGGGCACTTGTTCTTTCCTGACACGTTTGGCTGGGAATTAGTTTTTGTTGTTTTGTTTTTTTAAGCTTTGTTTTATGTCTCAACCCTAATGCTGTGTGGAGGGAGAAAGGGGCTTTAGTATTCTGGTAGTCTGTTGTGAAGCGCTTTCTCTCTGGCTGGTGCAAATGTGCACGTGCTGATGAATATTTAATGACTGCAGTCAATTTCAAATTTTTACATATCGTTGCTTTAATTTCCTGTAAGCTCGAGACTGGCAGAGAACAGATCTGGCTCCGGACCAGGATGCTGCTAATGTGTGTAATTAGCTGCTGTTATCAGCAAATGCTTAAAAATGTTGTTAAAAGTTTTGCTCTCAAGTTATTTTTTTATCATGGTGACTGAGCTCATCTTTTGCTACCTGAACTCCTGACGTGCAACCTGTTTGCCTTCCAGCTACTTAGGGTTTGAAGAGTATTGAATTTTTCAGGCATGAAATACTGATGCAAAAAGAGGAGCTCCATGCTCAGAATGAGTCATCATCACCCAGGCTCAGGATGTGCACGACTCACTCTGATTATAATAAACATACTACATTCTACTCACACTCAAAGGTAAACCCATTATCATAGAGATAACAGAATTCTAGTTTGCTCCTTTGGAGGTGGATAATAATAAACCAGGTAAAACTGTTCGTTTCCACTTGACTCCATTTTCATCACCTCAACATTCTTGCTCATTAATTTGATAGAGTGCAATTATGGAATCTTCTTTTCATTTTTCATTAAAAACACAAAAAAATTACCTAAATAAAACACATTAAAACCTAACATACTAATAAATGTAAACAATAGTATAAATAGTGTAAATAAAATAAAATACAATATAATATAATAAAAAATATAATATAATAAAAATATATAATATAATATAATATAATATAAATAATAATTACATAATAATAAAATGAAACACTTAATATACTAATTATCACTTACTTTATTGATTGATTGATTAGCATTCAAATATCTCAGTGAAAAACAAAATATTAAAGAAATAAAAACAAAAAAATTACCACAAAGACGAGGCTAATCAAAACGTATTGGCTGAAGCATTTGTTTATTACGCCAACCCTTCTAACAAAGATCTATTTGCATGAAGCTCCAGTACAGGGGCTGCATGCAGAAAATGAAACAAAGCAAAACAAACAAAACAAAAAACTTTCCACCTTAAGTAAGTAACTTCATCAAAGCAAAACAATCAAGAGTTACAGTGTCATTATTTTTGCCCTTTTCATTCTTGATTTTTTATATTTTTCTAATACTCTATTTTTAAACATGTTTTTAAACCAGGAAAATGAACTACACCTTTTTAAGTCACTGTCATAACTATTCCACAGGTTAACTCCTCTAACAGAAACACATCTCTGCTCTATATTTGTCCTTATTCTGTTTTTGTTAAAGAATTCAGTTCCCCTTAAGTCATATTGACTCTCTCTAAGTTTAAACAGCTTCTGAGTACTGCGGCAAAGCAAGTTATTTTGTGCTTTGTACATTATCTGTGCTATTTTAAATTCAATTAAATCATAAAATTTCAGGGTATTCAGATTAATAAACATAATGTTAGTTGGTTCTATATAGTTAAATTGATTTATAATTCTTATAGCTCTTTTTTTGTAACTTGAAAATAGGATGAGTATTTGTTTTATATGCATTACCCCATATCTCAAGACAATAAGTCATATATGGAAGCAACAGAGTACAATAAAGTGTGTGTGAGGATTTCTTGTTCAGGACATACTTTGTTTTGTAGAGTATAGCAATGGTTTTTGACATTTTTGTTTTCACATGATTTATATGAGACTTCCAACTCAACTTGTCATCAATTATCACTCCAAGAAATGTATTTTTGTACACTCTTTCAATTTCAATTCCATTAACTAAAAGACTAAAGACTGTGGTGATGATTTGCATTAGAAATGATTTCTAATTTAGTGTCATTTTATTTTTCTTTGTCAATTATTAATACTAAACCCTGTTTTTGTAAAGCTCCCATCATCTAGATAAAAAACTCTTTGTTTCTGACATTTACTTGTTTTTGCCACATCCTGTTTGTGATGCAGTTTTATTTAGGTAATTTTAACAAACAATACTTAACTTCAGCCATAAAACACAAGGTGTACAGGATGTGGATCTTTCTGTTCCTTCATGTGAGATTGAGTTTGTGTTTTTCCCTCGTTCCCTCGTTGAAGGTCATCATGTTCTGCTGCTGCTCTGGCTGTATAACTCTACAATCTCACCCATCAAAGTGTGAAAAACTAAATCAAATAATCAATCAATCAACTTTTTTTGTATAGCACATTTAAAAACAACAAATGCCTGAGAAAAGAGCTGAACAATGTCTTGGCGATGTCTTGTGATGCCAGGCGCCTTGCTTACAAGGACACTGTCCTTTGGTCAACGAAAACGGTTAAATGGAACAGACTTGCATCACATGACCACGGCAGTCACGTAACATTGCGTGACACGGGAAATGACGTTATATTTTATACGTATAAGTTTCATTATAAATATATAACGAGCCTTTTATTTTTAAAATTGTGTATTTATTTGTTAAACTAAGATGTAAGCGAGTTACTACTCGCTAGCCACCAATGCTGCAACTACTAGCATCTAACCAACCATAGATAACTGCTTTGGATATTAAAAAAACATTTCAGATTTCAGCCCGACAGCTACCATTAGTTGACTTACTTTTAAACTTGAAATTTGCCCCTGATGTAGCTGCCGGCTTCTGATCCGCCATCCTTTTGAAAATACTGTGGTGTATTCTGGGAAATTTTTAACCTGTACCTTCTCGTAGACCGAGGGCAGGAGATCAGCTTTTAACAGCTGACCCATGATTACTCATTACCCACAGCTGAGCTGAGCGGGAGACAGGCAAGGCAAGAGCCACTGAGACCATCCTGTGGCCGGAAAGAGGCAGCGCACCTAACATTACCGGTAAAACTACACATTGTTACTTTAAGAACATTCAAAAGCTAAATAAAATAGCTGTGCTTTCTAATTAGGTTTAAAAATCTAACGAAAATTACACATATAATAAACATCAGTACCATGTAACTTGCAGTTTATCAACAGGACGCCAAGTTAGCTTGAAATTCCCATCCTGCACTTCTTGGACTCTGCAGAGAATTTCCTATTAAACGTTCTGCCTCCTGTTGAATGGATTTAAAAAACTTGGAATGAACCTTTTAATCGAATATTTTTCTCATCTAGGTGGTTGTAAAAATGTAATTTTTTCCTCTGCAGATTGCCAACTGTCCTCTCTCAAAGATTATATATTCTGAACACCTCCTAGTTTCCTTCTTCTACTTTTGAAGTAACAAGATGAGGTTTTATTCTAGTAAAAATACTTCACATTCACACATTTTTTCATAATTTAACTGAAGCATTGGGCTGACGAGTTTCACAAGTGAGCTCTGTTGTTTTGACAGAGCAGGTCCAAATGGATGATTGCAGCCATCTGGTTTTAATAACAAAAGTTGTACATCAACACATCTGACAGCTAAACTGCCTTGCTCAGTAGCACAATAACAAGCAATGTTAATAAACTACTAAAGTAAATGTACTTAGCAAAAATCTTTAGCTGTTCTTGATGCATAGAGAAAAAAATCACTGCCTGTTATCTGACAAATGCACGGCCTCGAATGGGCTTGAGGAAAGAGCGCAAACTCACTGGATGTGCCTAAAGGAGAGACATAGACTAAGTAGAGTTTTTCACCATCTTGCAGAGCTGCCTGTGTGAGCTAGATTGGTTTGTGCCTAACAGAAGAAGGAGAAATAAGCTAAATGAGGAGGAGGAGGAGGAGGAGGAGGGAAAGGGGCCAATTACTTCCAAGGGAATTTAAACAAATAATGCTGCTCAGTTTGGACTCCACTTGTCAAATGGGACTCGAGGAAGCCCTTCACTTCTTGGATCTTTTGTCAATATCCTCACCTTTCACTAACTACCACATAATTTACTCTCAGATTTAGACGTTCATTATGCATTGTTTTATCTTTAAATAACAAAAAAATAACTAAAACAGAATTACTATTGTAAATGTGGTTCTTTTGCAGCTTGTTTACAGATGAAGT